TGACAACAACATTAGCAATCCTAAAAGAGTCGATTTCGGTGTCCCGCAGGGTAGTATTCAGGGTTGGACCTCTCGCTGCCGAGAGTGGTTGCCGCCATGCTCGATAGCGAGGAGTCCTGGGAGGCGGTGGCCTCCTATTGCGCAGAGGTTATGTCGCAAAAGGAGGCCGCGGAGCGGGTGCGCGAGGACGCGGCAGACGCGCACCCGCTCCGGCGCAGACGTACGGGGAGAAGGCGAAGGCAGTTCGCTGCTCGCCTGATCCCCTAGTGAGACCAGCGGGCTCTGGACAGGGACTCCGGAGTCTGCATTGCACGGCCTCACTCGTCTGGGGGGCGGGTCGGAGCACAACCGACTCGCCCCTCCGTCCGCGCGGGAGCGGGAGCCCTGGCGTAAGCTAGGGCGGCCGGGCGGCGGCGTCGTGGTGAATGTTCACTGATCCCACGGCGCCGACTCAACCGGCGATAGGGAAACCCGGGGGGGGGGGGGGGTGAGTGGGGTAGGCCCTCCAGTCTGGAGGGAGAGTCCCCCACATAACTCCTGAGTCTCCTTGGGCTCAGGGGTATCCATAAAGATTTCCCCCGTCAAAAAAAAAGAAAAATAAAGGGTAGTATTCTGGGACCAACATTATTTATTTTATATATCAACGACATTACTAATGCTAACCTTGTAAACGCTGACATAATATGTTACGCTGACGACACTGTTATTCTTTTCCATGAAGATACATGGGGTCAGGTGGCTGAGACCGCGAAGCAGGGTATGAGAGTTGTCGCTGATTGGCTTCAAAGCAATTTGCATACTCTAAATGTTTCCAAAACCAAATTGGTATGTTTTCATAAATCAAAAGCCTCTGCGCCATCTGGTTTCCCTAAGATTGCAGTACATATATGTGGCTCGAGGGAAGAGTCACCATCTCCCTGTTCATGTGAGCTGATTGACAGAACTACTGCAGTCAAATACCTCGGTATCATTTTTGATGAAAAACTTCATTTTCGACAATAAATACTAGTCACCGCCAACCGTACACGCAAACTGATATACGTATTTAGAAGTCTACGCTACTCTGCTGATAGAAAGCTGCTCAGGACCGTCTATATCAGTATATGCCAATCGGTCCTATCATATTGCATAACTGCATGGGGTGGGGCAGTCAAAACGAATATGCTGCTGATAGATAAAACTCAACTAGTGTTCGCGGAATGTTCGTATTGCGATTGGTGTTGACGGAACACGCACGTATCAGAAGTTCTCCTAACTATACACGTATGTTTCAAAAACGCAAATTTAGAATCCCAGTGCCACCAAGAAGAACTGCCTTTGCAAATAGATTCATTTCTTTTCTTGGTCCTTTTGTTTATAATAGGATTATTGCCATAGTATCCTTAAAGGGGTGTTCAGTTTGCGAAGTGAAACAGAAAGTGCAGAAGTGGCTCAATACACTATACTACGAGGATGCTGAGTGCGTGCGCACGCACGCACCCACGCACGCACGCACGCATGCACGCACGCACGCAAGCATGCACGCACGCACGCACGCACGCACACTATCTTTTATTATTCGTACAAGTAATTATTTACTTTACATTATTGTTTGTTTGTGAGATACACCTAAATTAATATTTTTTTGATATTGTAACTTGAGCAAATGAATAGGATTAAGATTATAGGTCTACGCTTTCTATTTTGGTAACCTCACCTTTGACTTGGTTACCTACGGGACAGGCTATGCCTAGTGTAGAAGCCAATGTAACACGCGCCGGAATAATTTGGATCAATGAAATAAGTTTTAATAATTAATGTTTATGATCTGCTTAACTATAAACCACATTTTAATTACTGTTTATACTCTTCTATCTCCGGAATGAAATTAAAAGTGTTAATCTTAGAATGTAATATATAATGTTATTATTTAAACGTAATACTAATTTTATAATTTGTGTAAATGTTAGTCAAACTAAAATTTTTCGTAATTATTTACTGTTATAAGCATGTAGAAAATTAATGTGAATTTTTGTATTAAGTACTTTTCAATTATTACCATGCCTTACTGGGCCTATTATATAACTAAACTATTGTAACATGTATGCCTACATATGGAAACAATAAATTATTATTATTATTATATACATTGTATATATATATATATATATATATATATATATATACACACACACAATTCAGTCACGACAAGATCGCTTCCGTTCCGGTCGCGGCAATGTAAATTGAGCCTAACGTGTCAGCCTTTATGTATGGGTAATTATTAATAAAACTAAAATGGTCGCTTAATACAAATAATTTAATTAAGAAGAAACAGTAATCCTGTATACGTTTTACATAAATAAGTAACAAAATTATATCTCGTGTCACTCAATAAAACTCGGTTGAGTAAATTAAAATCAAATATTATATTAAGTAATAGTGCAGGTGAAAAAATCCAAGCAATTGTGACATATAATGCAATCAAAACTATTCGATCGTGAAACAGAAATTTTGATACAAGCTGCCATAGCCTTTAGTTTACTGTAACTATTTAGTTATATGTATGGTAAAATACCTAATTATAACAAGTAAATTAAAATAACAATTTCTTGCGCCGTTTTTAATAACAAATAAAAATACTATATTTCTGTTATGTACTAATGCGGGCAATCATATCTTGCAGCATATTCGACTATTATTTTTTATAGTTTGAAGTACATACATATTTACATATGAACATTTAGCTCTGTAACATTTTGAATAATCTGCAATCATTATTACAAAAATATACTTTTTTACAGTTAGAACATTAGTTACACTGTAGACCTAATTAGCATTTTAATACAAGTTTGTAACATTCATATTCATACCAGAAAAGTAGAAATAACGTTAATTTTATTAATTCAAAGTATCGTACTAATCGTTTCAAATTGTTATATAATTATGTATTTAAGTGTCTGGACTTGGATATTACGTCTTATATTTGCTTCTTGGCGGAGCCTTTTTCAAGATTTCGCCAATGTCAGTTTTGAATCATCATCGTCGGCAATGTTGGTTGTGAGAATTTATTTTGATATAACACTGTCACAGAAAACTAACCGTGAATGATACAAGGCGCTAAACGCTACCACACTTTGAATGTCGCGATTCCGAGTGTACAATTTGGAACGTAGAAGGAATTAGAGCAAAAACTGACACGTTCCCAAGTCAAGTACCCTACTCTAACAAATTTAGGCTTCAAAAACGGTTTAAAATTTAAAACACAAGTCAGTTTGGCTCCGCCCGTAGAGCCACATCTGTATGACGGGAAAATGGAATAATGTAGTAAAAGAATAATTTGTACAAATATTGTTGTTGACATAAATGTGATAAAAACATAGTAACAAAATTTTCAACACACAATTTTTCCAGTTTTGACTCACAATAAAACATCAAGTGATAATTCGGTACTTATTTTCAAATTATAGATGTTTTGGGACGAGTGCTTTTAAAATGATTTATTGCTACGCTATGAAATGTAATTGGTAATAAAGAATAAGAGTAATTTAATTTATAAATGCTGTATTATTTTAAGGCAAGTTTAGAATGATAACTATAGTGTCAAACATGTATTGCATTCTCTAAGTATAGTGGACATAAAATATCTAACAAGATTTTTGCCATGAATACATAAAATTAAACTTACAAAAATTACAAGATAATTATAATAATTTCAATATTAAGTAACAAAGTTTCAACGGAGTCTAACCTATTAAGATAACAGGCACTAGGAGTGTAGTCTTACAATGATACCTACATGCTAAAATTGCATTGTTGATCGCCGCAGAAGCGTCGGCAATTTTGTACAACCACATTTACTTTTAAGTACTTACTGTACATTAAACTGTATATTCGCAACATACCTATTTTAATACATTTTCATAATGGACTAACATAATGTTTCTGTAGTTCTAATACGGATTGACATGTTATCAACAACAATTATGTAAAATCCCACGATTTTGCAGAGACGTTACTTTAGTTCATCAAATGAAAATAGTTTTTTTGAAGTATTGTACGCAAATTGAACAAGTGATAAAATTATTGTAGCGCGATATAGTACTTAATAAACGCTATATACAATGCACATACAAAAATGAACACTGAAACACGTACTTTATACACAAGGCAACTGTAAACCTCTACGTCTGAACGACGTAACATTGGTAAGTAATATTAAGTATTTAGATAATAATTATGTACACATGTATCCAAAGGGATCATTCGTAACGCATTTAAAAAAATTAATAAACGCATCCCAAAACTAATTCTATTTATTTTCAAAATTCTTGTAAAGGCTAAGTACAAAAGTTCTTGGAGATTTTCGGTTTATAAAAATACCGTATATTAACTGCAGTATTTAATTAAGTAGTGAACGTCACAATTGTTTTGTAACTAAAATAAAATTGAGGCAGTGAAATTTAAATCAATATAGTGTAGATTAAATATTCATATTTCTAATTTGTACGAGTGGAGGTATGATGCAATAAATAATAATAATTTCGATAGTAACAAGTTTTCAAAGATTTAAGCTATTACGTACACTGGTATAAGTTAAAACCTTGTGTTGATTATTAAACTAAAATTGCTGTGAAAAATCTTAAAAACTAAATTTTGTTGCACAGAGTTGAGAAATTGTTTATTCAATTCGTATCTAAATTATAAGCTGACTACACTGTACATTATAATATTGGCGATTGTTAGTAACACAATTTCTTGAATTGAGCATTTGTACGAATCCCAACTTGAGGTTGGTTTTACGAAAATGTTATCTGTCACGATGCGCACGTGTATTAGCTTATTACAAATAACAAGTGAACATCGTTAATTATTTAAATACTTTATAATAAATTCAAAATTCAAAGCACCATTACGATTGCAATACTTAAAATAATAGAAAGTGTAAAAATAATCACATACACTACACATTTTTTTAAATTCGTCTACAATGTACATGTAAGTCTATAATAGATTCCTTTTTTTGCTATCTATTCTTTCATAACATAAGCCGATTAAAAATATTTTTAAAACTAATTCTGTGATGTTTAAGTTTATTATAGGAACAAGGTAGAAACTACTTTATGTAATATTTCTACGAGTTCAAATCTGATTGGTTTGGAAACAGAATTATTATTAGAAACTGGATTGGAATTTGAATAATGACACGTCTCAATCTGTCACGTGATAAACATGGTCTATAAAAATTCTTTCCCATGTGAAGACGGAAAGCGCCTCGTACTGCGTGGAAAAATATTTATTAATACACAATTTCACTTCAATTTGTAACATTGTTATTAGATGTCACAGCATGACTTGGTCACCATAAATTCAGCTTTTGGCTCCGTCCAACAGTACAACGAAAACAATCTCAGCGCCAGAGCGAACTAAAATATCAAATAAAGCGAACGTTTGTATTATCTATCAGGGTATATCTACACTATGTCAAATTGTGACAAATTATGTTTTTATTGAAAAGTTAAAGCCGGAATGTTGTTATAAAACAACATTCCGGCTGTTGGTGTTCCATAGAATAGGCTGAGCTTACGGCGATCAAGTTATGGAATAAAGATCGAAATATTTATACTTATAATGGTGTGATGGCTTAGCTGGCGAGTCCGGCGTCGCGCGCCATGCCGTAAAATATAGAGTTTTTATCCTGCAGTAGCTGCTCGGGTGGCGCAAACTCCACGAGCTGACCTTTGTCGAGGACCATCACGCGGGTCGAGTCCATTATTGTGTTAAGACGATGGGCGATCGTCAGCACCGTGCAAGATGCGAACTCGGAGCGGATCGTTTTCTATAAAAACAAATTAATGTTTTTAATTTCTGTTAGTAATGGATTAAGTAAGTTTTACAAGTGTTACTTTACTCGTTTTCTGTTTTTTTATACCCCTATTTGCTTAGTATATATTTGCAAGTAATATGTCTAAGAGCCCATGAACACGGCGTATTTTTCACCGCAGACGACTGGCGTTTACGGGGGCGTAAAGTCGCGATACGAAATTTGTGACCTAGAACTAGTCGTGTAGGGCTAGCACGACAGGGCGCCACTTGCGCGAGAGGGACATAAAGCCCACGATACTGCTATTCTCGCATAGAGTATCCTCTCGCGTTATATGTCGCTCTTGCGTAAGTCATGCTCTGTCGTGCTAGCCCTACTGCAAAGGTTTACTGGCTGCGACTGAACTACGTTTGAATCGCATTAACGCGCGTCATTTACGGGTAAGAAATACGCTGTGTGCATAATCTCTAGGTAAATAAACATCCCATTATCGTCACAAACCAATCGTCTAAATTGAAATTCAGTTTGGAGTTTTTACTTATTCTTTATGCTCTAACTTCTGAAGGAACGTATAGGATTTCACATGTCACTCCGAAGTTCGGGTTTGGCTTTCAAATACGAGTGTAGGAAATAAGCAACGGACCTGTATAAGCTCGTCGGTCTCCAAGTCCACAGCGGCGGTGGCTTCATCTAAGACAAGCAGCGGCGTCTTACGCAGCAGTGCGCGCGCTAGACACACCAGCTGCCGCTGGCCCACCGACAGATTCTCGCCGCCCTCCGAGATCTCGTGGTTTACGCCTGCTTGGAGACCTGCAATAAGATACCGATTATGCAAAAGAAATCTGCACTGCCGTTTTGATTTTGACTTTTTGATGCGACTTCTCAATTCAAAGGAGCATAATTTTTGCTGGACACCTCTAAATCATAAAACAAAAATGCCAAGTCAATTCAAAGCCAAAATGAACAAAAAACTTAATTTCTGTTTTTAGTACTTTAAAACTGTCAAGTTTAAGGTTAGGTGATGAAGAAAATGTGTCTGCAATTCAAGTTCGTCAAATGTGGATCAACTCGACTAACCTTGCACAAAGGTCTTAAGATGGGCATGCTCTAGGGACCTCCAGATTTCCTCATCAGTGTAAGTACCGAAGGGGTCAAGATTGGTGCGCAGCGTGCCTGAGAAGAGCACGGGGTCCTGCGGGATTATAGTGATGCGGGACCGCAGCTGGTGCAGCCCCAAAGTCGAGATGTCGATGCCGTCGATCAGGATCTTACCGCCCATCGCCTCCACTATCCTGTAATGTGCGGGTTTATTAGTACTGCAATCTATCACCAAAAATTACTGGAATTAAAAATAATCAATAAAAACAATACGTGCAAAATTTTTAGAGACAGTTTTCTAAAATAATAAAAAAAATACGCTCATCAAAGTTCCAGGCGCTTGGTTAATTACACTGTGGCCATTATAGCTCAAGACTACTGATAACGACACAAGAAAGCGTATTCGGGTGTTTAGTACTTATTAGGACACACTACCATCTATTTACATGGATATTTGTTAAAGTTCAGAAAATAATTTTATATCATGATAAATATTTGAATAATATTACAAGAAAAAACTGACTTTTTATATTTCATATTAAAGAGGAATTAATTGATATCATCGAATATACAGGCTGTACATTTGAAAGTGGGACATACTTATAGAATGCGTTATATTTTTTGATTCTGAAACCGAAAGAAACAAACTAATGAACTTAAACTGTACAATTTTTTTTTTATCGACTACTACTACTTGAGAACAACGTTAGTTATTGAAATCTATGCACATCACTATTATCGCTCCGACGCAGCGGCGAAAAACAAAGCACAGGTCGGGGGGTGGGGACACGGGCGCATACGCGAAATTGCTCAGTGCACGCGCGACCTTGATCTAACGAAGACACGTAAATTAACCTTCTCATCGCCGCCGATACCTTTACAGGTTACAGTTGTGATAACTGACGCAGGTTTCGCTTTTACGACCAAAAAATTGAGATTTTTTTGTGAAATAACTCCAATAGTTTTGTTATTATAAAGATAGACCACACAGAAATTTATTTTTGTGGAGCAAGGACGTGGGTTCAAGTCCCACCGGTTCGACGAAAATTTTCTGTGTCTTCGATCTTTGTATTAATTGTCATAACAAAACTAGTGGAGTTATTTCACAAAAATCTCAATAAACAAAATAACAAAAAACTGTTTAAAATTCATCTATCATGCATGCTTAGCATTCCAAAATTTGTAAAATAAAACGCGCATACCTGAAGAGTCCCAGCGTGAGGGTGGACTTGCCGGCGCCGGTGCGTCCGACGATGCCGAGCTTCTCCCTGGGCGCGACGCTGCAGGTGACGCCGCGCAGCGCCGGTTCGCCCGCGCGGTAGCCCAGCGTCAGCTGCTCCAGCTGCAGCGCGCCGGTCTCGGGCCACGTGGAGCCCGGCCCGTTGGGGAGGTTCCACTCCGCCTCCTGCGGGGCGAACGTTTTAAGGGGGCTCTGCACGCGTGCCTCAGTGGTCCAACCGACACGTGAGCCGAATCGCACTGTCTCATGTTTACATCAGGCACCACTGATGCGGCGTCGTTGCGAAGCGAACGAAAACGATTGTTGATAAAATTATCATGTTGTGTCGCGGCAACGTGTCATGTTGAAATAGAGGAAATACTAATAAATTAGGAAGTAATATAACAATTTACATGTAACTAATGTTACAATGTGGTAATGTTGTAAAACTTACCTTTTCAGTTTCAGCGTATTCTTTTATTCTTTCTACTGCCACGATGTTAGTCTCAACCTCGGAAGTCATTCGAACCAGCCAATTCAAGGTTTGTGTTATCTGAAATAGAAAGTAAGTTTGAGTGAAGCTAGAGTTAGCAGTTTTGAATATGAGCGAGAAGTATGAAATGTAAGGATCGCATGGCAGTTACAGTGAACTGCCGGTCAAATGTAATAGCGTAGAGTTTTGGGACTAGTACAAATGAATTACCGTCCTAAATTGCGGTCTTTCAGTTACTCCCAATGTAGGCTCAGAATTTATTACAAGTAGGCACCACAGTCAGATACAGTTCCTTCACATATTAGGATTATGCCGGTAACTCGTATTTTCACACTTCGCTTTCATTGATGTATTTTACTTAAAAATAAAATGACGCATAATGTATCGCGGGTGCCATGGACACACATATAGACAACCACAAATAACACCCAAACTCACAATATTTCTCTCGTAACCATTCGGCCACGTAGGCAGTTACTTAGCACTTCCGTACGTAGAATACAAGGAAATAACCAATTAGTTAGATACATTAACATGTATGCAACTTTTACATTTCATTTTTTACGAAGTAAATTACGTCGAAAAAACAAACGTTGATTACAGCTATCTTGGAAAAATAGAATAAAATAAATATAATAAAATAGTGAATGTGCGATTGATTGAGACAGACAAATCAATTATATAAATAGAGGGGTAAGTAGATAGACCTGCAAGGCGTAGCTGACAGAGAGTCCTACGAGACCAGGACTGATATCTTCGCGAGAGAGTACGGCGAACAGTGCGGCGAAAAATATGATGAAGTTGCCAATCATCTCCAGCCGTACTGCCAGCCAGCGGTTCGCGATGCAGCTCGGGTAGTAGCACGATTGGTTATGGTCCACACCTCGCTCCGATTCCTCAACGAACCTAGATTCAAAAAAAATAAAGAGGGCTGACAGAAATATTCAAATCATTCACAGTAATAAATTAGTTGGGCACGCAATCGACGAGTTGAAAGCCGTCTACGATGTGTTATTAGTACTCATTTTTTATTAATGACATTTTGTAGTTGATCGCTGATGGCCTTGACAAAAGGGCGAGCTGAAGGCTTTTAAACCGTTTATAAATTTAGAACCCTGAGCATGGTTAGTGCTCAGGCAACGTCACGTGGCTTATAAAAGCAAGTACCGGCACTCATGACGTGATGTCAATGAACCCTACCATTCCCCTACCCTACCGTCCGATATGCGTCATGCGACAAGTGATAATGCGTTTTCGAAACTGATATAAAATTATAAAGGTTTTTTTAGCTAAAAAAGCATTTACATAACATAACATTATAGATACAAAAAAGTAATAGAAAATGCATATCAGTGCTTATTTTTTAACAAAATAAAACTACAATGTACCTCTGTGTAACTCCATAAGCTCGTATAGTCATGGCGCCTGTAATACTTTCGCCGAAGTGTGAGTAGATAGGCGACCTAGAGACGGACTCAAGTCGCTTAAGCTGCCTCGAAGTGGCCACGTAGAACCGCTGGATGATGTAGTAGATCACCCCGATGGGAAGTATCACCGCCAGGAAGATCGGCGTTGACAAACTGATCACGAATAGTGTGCCCAGCACCTAACATACATTTTTTATGTAACGGACGGACTGTCAGTCGTTTAGTATGTTAAGACAGTTTGATTTGAATCTCTAAATGTTGTTTCCACTGATAGCACGATTTGTGATGTTTAAAGCAATGTTATCGTGACCATTTTAGGGTTAAAAAATAATCTGTTAACCTTTTTTAGGTGAGGTACAACTTAAAGTTTTTAACACATTACTGCGAGACTCCTTCCTCCCAGTATCCAAAATATTTAGTATTGACAATAGGATCAAATTTCATCGGTATAGAGCGAGCTCGCTTAACTATCTTCTGAATAATTTACTTTTCAGTTTGCAATTCGCTTTTAAATAGCAACTCAAACTGATCTTTTTTTATAATTCACTCGTATTAAATGTAATTTTAGTTACAAATAAATTCGAATTTCTTAAATTGGGATCAGTTTATAATATGCATGAAAAATGTAAAAATACGTAAACAGGAGTTAAAATAAGTAAAGCAATTTCTAAGCAGATCCGTTTACCGTTATATAACAATTAACACGAAAAACATAACAAAGCATAACACAACTATTAAGCAACGTAAAAACAGGAACAGACAATACATAATGATATTTATTTAAAACGGCATAATATACAAACTATACGAAGTACTGATAAAATAAATAACGTAACCCATATGGTTATATTTCAAATAATCCAGTCCTTTCCCCCCATATAAAGTAAACAAGTTGCGGCGTTACCTCGAACGTGCAATAAACGACGTCGGCGGACTGCATTGGAAGCAATGTGTCCAAAACGTCTACGTCTTTTGAAAATCTAGCCAGTATCCTGCCAATCGGCGTCCTTTCGAAGAATTGCAACGGAGTCTTTAGTACATTGCCCAACAACTGCATGTGGAGAATTTTCGCAGCGCGCCAACATGCCAAGTATGGCATTAAATCCGAAAAGAACGACGATATTGCTGTAACAACGATCACGGGATCGATTTTAATGACACCTTGAATCGTTTACGTTAGTCATGGTTCTCAAAGCATGCCAGAGTAATATCGATAGCTTAACAAATTCGTTATAATACGTGGGTATGTGTTATCATCTCTTGTCGATTACAAACATGAAAAAAAAAACAATTTGACGCTTGATGTTATTTATCCACGTTGGTGGCCTAGCTTCGCGATGTTATCGTACAATCAAGTTGCAGCTATTCGTGACAGTGTAATCACATATAATGACAGTTATTCGTTATGAATACATTATTTACGACACATAATCATTGTACCCACAAGCGCTAAAAAGACCGAAAAACTATAAGGGTGCCATACGATGACGGTGACGTGTGCAAACGGTTCACGTGACATCTACTCTATACTATAGTTGAATTGGGTTCATGCATAAAAGTTTTCGCGCCTGCCCTCTTAGCGCTAATTAGAAGGCCTATTTCACTACTAGAAGCAAAGCGAATGGCTAGTCCGACCGCAGTGTAAGAGTATTATTCTAAGCTGGTTTTTCTGTTAGAAAACAAACATAAACTGATCCCAAAATATTTATAACAACGTTGCATATTGAACAGCGAAACATTTTGTTATATATGTGCACAATGTTTTTTACAATTTTATTGTTCTACAAATATTAAGTTTAAGTATAAGGGACGGACGTTACGTCACGAACTCTCCAAAAGAACCTACCCTTCTTACGTTAAATATTCCTTTATCGCCTAAATTTCATTCGGGTGTTGTAGGACTTTAAAAGTTTTATTTGTAGCAAATTTCTGGGCTAGTCTTTGGGAGCGCTCGAAGTCGCGGGCGGTAGCATACCGCAAAGAAGCAGGTGGTCCAACCACGCAGTGTCATGGGCAGCACATTGTCGAGCACGTCCACGTCCTTGCTGAAGCGGTTGAGCACGCGGCCGACGGGCGTGCAGTCGAAGAAGCCGATGGAGGGCGCGCGCAGCACGCTGCCAAGCATCGCCGCGTGCAACGCGCGCGCAGCCGCCAGCGACCCCAGGTACAGCGCCAGGGATGACACCGACACCGACAGCACTGCACACCATGTTTCATCATACCAGCCACCACACCAGGATTCTCGAGTTTAGCATTCTTCAATTTTACCGGATTTGGTGATTGGCGTGCGGGCTCATTACATTTCGAGAACTGAATGTTCTTCCGACAGTCCGAAGACAAAAAAGATAACCTCTTCTTGGAAATACAAATGTTGGAATAGTCTGGCGGCGCAGATTAATCACTTAAACTACAGCTGAAAAGCTGGAGCAGTCCACTTATTAAGACATAAAATGTCGATAACAAAATATAAGCTCCTCTCATGTTTGATCCCCGACATGCATACTATCAACGTGCTTGTACCGTTTGTAATTGATGTATAGTTAGGTTATGACGTTATAAGCGTTCCAAAAGTTAATCATTATGGATGATTGAAGCCAAAACCGAACGAGACAGAGCCCCACTTTCACTGTGTTTATTTGTCCCTGTTTCCATTCGGACAGTACTTAAAGAAAACTTATTTAAGGCATACATTTGGTTTAAAAATTTAGAGTATACGAACATGCAATTATGGAAGGTTAAGTGTAAATGAAAAACTTAGGAAAATCTGTACATCTGTATGGTACAACACCATATATATGTACAGATTTTCAGAAAATGTGTATGTATACTACATTTTAAACATACATATGTACAGAGAATGTGTATATAGTATTTTTAAACCAAAAAAATAAAATATCATGCAAGATTAAATTTTGCTTATGAAACATGCAAGAAATTATAAAATCTAGTACCATATAAAACGGTGTCCATAAAAATTGGAAGTGACAATATTTTACAAAATGCCAATTAAGAATAATCCCAAATACACTAAACAATAACGTGTAAACAATGTATTCATTTAATTTGAATATTAATGTAATTATAATTCTAAACAATATATTACATATAAAAACTAATATCATAACATACAGCCAAATAAGAACAGTGAAATTACGGGTGTAGTTGATTAGTTTGGTTCGTCGCATGAGTATACTAATCCAATCGAAAGAAAGTAAGGAAGTTCTGTCACCAATAATGAAACCGGACCAGATAATTAGAAACCACCTTAACGCTAGTAAGTACCAACTGCCATAATAAAACTTTAAATACATTAAATTCGGGGCTCACAAGCTCGACATAATAAAACCTAATGCATAGAACAAAATGTTGCTTTTCTTATAGCGGTATCGTTAGCGCCGGGAGTCGCAGATCTATTAATAGACTATTTTAAAGACAAAAATACGACTTTTCTTAATATTATGCCTATAATTATTGTTTCTAAAATTCTCTATTGATATTTTTACATATACGTACATTCAGTCACTAGTTAGGCTATTAAATTGTTTTTTTTAAACTGCTAAAATGAACACTGTGTAAAAGACGTAAGGTACAAGAAATAATTTTGACATTATTATAGCTTTAGGTGTGATCCAACGCACCAAAAGGGAAATGTTCGGTACTTCGCTAGATATTTTGTCGACAAAATCAGTTATTGTACAAATGAAGTCTTCTTACCTTGTCCGACTCCGAGGCCTCCATATACACCGAGATAGAGATCACGGCGTTGTGTGTTAACAGTCCCGTTTACCATCTATAAATATGAATAAAAAAAAATTTATTTATAATATCAAATGACGGGACGAACGAGTCGTGCGCCTGATGGTAAGTTACACGCCTGTCCACAACATTTGCAGTGCCACTCAGAGCTTTAAATCGCAAACGCGACGCACTGAGACATAAGTTGACAAGTCCCATGTGCCTGTAACTTCACCAGCACCCTACCCTTCCAAACTGGAACGCAGTAATGCTAACATTACTGCTTGGCGGCAGAAATAGGTAAGGTAGTAGTACTTCCCTGGACGAACTTTTTCACAACGACCTCTACTGTTGCTAGATATAATATATTTTCGTTTAGCGCGAAATAACAATTAAATTCATTGATGCCTAATTATGTAGGCACGTGACGCTGGAAGAATTTAGAGCTTACGCACACGGCGCCGTAAACGCGCGTAGTGACTCGATTCAAACGCGCGCAAACATCGCGTTGCAAGCAAGAATCTTATATACTCAGCTGGAGTTTACATTTGGAGCCTTTGCACACGGCGTATTCTATACGCGCCGTAACCGCGCGTTATCTGCGCGTATACGCGCCGAAATTACGCTGTAGTGAATAGATTCAAACGCGTGCAAATATCGCGTTGCAAGCATTCTAACTTATATAGAATTTCATGTAGTTGCATCATTTCAAAAATTAACTGAAATTAACAAACAACACTAAAATTATAACTATCTCATATCAAAATGCGCGATACATACGCGCGTTTAAAATACTCTGTATGCATAGGCTCTTAGGTTACGGAATTTTATAATTTCATAAAAAAATAATAGAAACTAACCATTTGATCATCATTGGACCACTCGGCGAGCCAATAGTTTGATCCAACCTGGAACACCTGCAGCACCAGGTTCATGAGCACAGTCACCAGAGACGCCAGCACGCCCACCGACATAAGGTAGTGCTTGTATACGCTCCATTTCACCTGCATATAACACAACGGTTTTTTTTTCAGCTGCCTTTATTACGTTAGAGAGTTTCAAAGATTTAAAAAAATAATAAGTGCGCATTTGACCTCCATCTCACCTGATGGAAAGTAACGATGAGGTCGACGATGTAGCATGCACACCTAAATAATAGATTACGACTTTATGCACGATTTAAAGCCGCCTATACATGTTGCTACTGTATTACGTAGATTTATTTTGATCTAAGCGAACGCATGAACGGCTAGTGAGTTGTATGTACTTCGAGCTATCGAACAAAGGGGTTAGGTGAAAGTGAAATAATCTTTATTTCATAAGTAAGCAAATTACACTTGAAATCATCATACTGATTAAACTCTACTGCTCATTCGTAAGGCAGATTCCCCTGAAAAGAATGAGCAAGAAATTCAGGGGTTGCTTTTTGTAAATATACATTTGAATACACCTATCATTACAATATTTAATTTAAACAGATTAGATCGACATTACTTAAAAGAGCTAAACGGGTCGCTACTTTAGTATAATTTTGTTTCACAATAGTTTTAAACCTCGTAAACGGTAAATTTTGAATATCAATCGGAATCTTATTATAAAAGCGTATACATTGCCCCTTAAATGAATTTGAGACTTTACGAAGACTACTGACAAGAACAGCTAGTTTATTTTTACTCCTCGTATTATAATGTTATGTCTGTCACTATTTTTCAAAAACAAAATAAAAAATATTTTTCTTAACATAAATAACATTTTTATAAATGTCACAAGAATGTTAATCTCTTTAAACTTATCTCTCAAAGACACTCTGAGGCCCAGATTGAAAATTGCCCTAACCGCACGTTTCTGCAGGACAAAAGTCCGATTAATGTCGGCGGTATCACCTCAAAGCAAAATGTTGTATGTCATTAAACTGTGAAACTAGCTGAAGTACTCCAATCTAGCTGTTTGTAGCAAGGTAGTAGTAGTTTGATTTCGCTACCCATAGCGATACTTGTGATAATAGTAATAATAACAGCTGTTGCCTAATCGCCACCATGTAACCCAACACAATGTGGCCATTCTGCACGTAGTATTATTATAGTAGAATGGCCACCTTGTGTTGGGATACATGGTGGCCATTAGGCAACAGCTGTTATTATTACTATTATTACAAGTATCGCTATGGGGAGCGAGTAGATTATGTAATAACATAATCTATGGTTTGCATTACAGAAGTCTGGTCGTGGTACTCACGCTTCCCGTCTCTGCCTTTTCGGCTTCAATAAGCTTGTTTTTAGCTTTTAGTTCCTCGGGCGTTGCGCTGCTTTGTGACCGTTGTCTCTTCACGCTATTCGCGCGATCTCCTGCAAATGCATTTCCATAGGATTAGTCTACGTTTCGATGTTTGCTCATATCTCTCTCTTCTCTGTTTTTCCCTCATTTCTTGCAGTATTGCGTCATCTATTACTTTACTATGGATCTATCTAGATGTATATATAATAACACAAAAAATAATATATATATTAATACCAGGGTTCAAAATTATCAAGATATTTATTTTTTCTATTAATTATGCGACATATACAGGCTGTCCGTGTCAGTGGTTCAAAAAAATATCGAATAGGATATTATTATTACCTGTTCAGTAATAGGTATAAAATTGGGCTATCCTTAATAGTATAAAAAATATCGCCATTTTTAGAATATCTTTGAAATTTCAGTTTTTTTAAAAAACAAGGGACGTGTATTTTAAACACTATTTCTTACTTATTGCAAGAGTGATTTATTTATTTATTTAGAGACAATAACAGGTCACAAACCATGTAGAATACTTAATATTAATATAATACTACAACACTCTTTAGCTTGGAACGGATGACAATTGTGCACAACATTTAAATGAAATAGATTTAGTTAAATATCCTATTTAAAAATAAAAATGCAATTTTATATAATTAAAAAAAGGAAAAATTTGAGGAAACCATAAATTAAAAACCTACAAAAAATAAGCAAAATGAAGGCAACTTGAACCTAGCTTTCGAAACTCATATTAATAAGAATTAAATAATTTTGACACGTTTGAATACGTCTCGGACAACACATAACACGACATTGTGTTGTTTAACATCGAGATATTTGTCAAGATAATTAACGTGAAAATTGTAATATCGACACTACAAGTGTTTACGCACCTGCGGACTGCTGTTGGTCTGACTCTGAAGCGCTTTCCGATAGCGAGCGGGCGCGTTGAAGTTTATTCTGGAACTCCGAACCCAGTTTGCTTTCCAGATCATGCTTGATTTCGTTTAATTCTGGAATAAAACAAAATAACTGCTATGTAGGCACTTTACGAGGGCAGTTTGACGAGCGCGCTCAATACATACTCTTTCGATGCTCTACCCAATGCGCCACAAGACCGGGAGACAAACTCAATACCCCAAAAAGTACTATAAACAGGGATAATTTTTTTTCGTACCCGTTACCATTACCCGTTTGGGCCACATTAAACCAGTAATGGTGCAAAACGGGACAGCACTAGCTTTCTTCAATCGTTTCAGTTGTTGCATTTTTGTTGAATGAAATGAAATGTTCAATGTGGTTGATGTTTATCAAATTAATGAAATATGAAAAACGAGAGTGATATAACTGCTATTTATGCACTATATTAATTTCTATAACAATTTAATATTTTAATTTCATCTATGGTTAAAAACCAAAGTTAATGGAGATAAAATTTGAAATCACGAATACTGAAGTTCAAATAAAAATATTAATTAATAAGATATTTGATGAAATAATACATAATATGAAGGCTGTTAATATGTAATTCGCCAATGTCGAGATTGGCGCTAGAGGCGAGCACAGATGCCAACAATCACCAAAAACGACAACAAAACAAACGAGATAAATATTCGGTATACTGCTAGGACATAGGTAGAAATTAAAATAAAAATCTACAAAAATCTATTAAAAGTATTTAAGGAACAGCCGCCATTCTGTTTATTTTATAGACTTACATAAATTGTATTAGCTTAACATGCCAGTGAGTGTACAGGTAGGTAGTTTATAATGACGTTATTTTCGAGAAAAATTTGGACTTCGGAAAGAAGATTTTTTGTGTTCGAGCTCGTGCTAAGTGTGTTGTTTGTGCGATACTATTCGTAACTAATAAAAATTGGGGATATTTCAGAGACTCGATTTTTAGTCTCATTCATGCTGTCTTTATAAGTATTTTTTGTTAAATTATACAGATTTAAATAGCATAAGCCCAAAGTGTCGTAATCTGTAGCAAAATCACCATAACATAACACAACAACAGACAATAAAAAATTATATAGATTTAGAAACACTATGACTACCAGAAAATATAAAGAATTTCTTATTTAAGAGGTTGTAATAAATTTACCATATTACATGCACGAGTATCAAACTACAATGAATAAAAATTACGCGCGGGAATGTTTACAAATTTCCAAGCGAATACAGCCTCGCCCACACACTTGTGATCGCGACATAGGCGACGGAGATAGCAATAATGTTATCAAACGCCAAATATAGTGGCCCGATAAAACTTTACTGTAAAGGTTTAATTTTGAAACGTGTGATCTGTCACCTCATCTTGCATAACATACCTATACTTACGAGTATCAAGATGGTATTAAGTCAATAAATGTGTCAAACTATAACGGCGTTTTTTACAATCATACTTATCCGCACAATGGGAAAGTAAATGTGGGAAAGTAAACCTGGAGAAAGCTACACTAACAACAGCATGCTCATAAAAATAAGAATGCAGAATCGGTCTAATCGTGATCCAATATTAGTGTTTAGATTAATCATTATTTTTATGTGTCCTACAAAAGCGCAATGATAACCTAATTTTATTTTGATAGATTGATAAAATATCATTGATTGATGAAGATTAATCATCGAATGTGTGCACTTGACCTCGAGATAGATAAATGTTTTATCTATCATTAAATGTGGTGCAACCAAGTGTAGACCAAAGTAATTCCATCTTTTTTTTTATAAAAAATAAGTGCGCATTTACGATGACTTGACTATGTAGCATGCACACCTAAATAATGCCTATTCACTCTCACCTTGAAAAGGTCCAAGTTATAACGTTCGGGGAACAAGTTCGCAAGTAGGGAATTCCACTCTCTAGCCGCTCGCCATATAAATGTGGAAGCGAAACGCTTCGTGCGTATCCTAAGAATACCCACGACATTGGGGTGGAATCCCAGCCCACGTCTAGTCTTTCGATGATGGAAAGGGGAAGGCGGAATCAAATTATGCAATTCCATCGCTCTCCGTGATATATCCTGTAGAATACCGATAAGCAGGCAACTTTACAGCGGTGTTCAAGGCTCTGCAGCTTCGCCTCTACTAATTTCGAGTCTATATAAGCCTCTTGGCACGTTTGTCTATTAAATCCAAGGTGGCCAGTTGGTATTTAGTAGAGCCATCCCATAAGTGGCAGCAGTACTCCATAGACGACCGGACTTGTGCTTGGTACAGCAGAAGCAACGTCCCGGTGTGAAGTAACGCCTCACCTTGGAAAGGATGCCAAGCTTCCTGGCCGCATTTTTGGCCATGGATTCAATTTATTTGCCGAAGTTTAGATTGGACGACAGGTCTATTCCAAGTAGCTGGAGACGGTCGGTTATCGGTACGGATACATGACGAAAAGTCGGAGTCAGGTGAAAGGGACTCCATATTGTGGTGAATAGACACGCCTGCGTTTTGGTAGCATTAAATTTGACAAGATTGGCATCGCCCCAATCGAAGACTGCCTTAATTGTCAAATTCAAACGACTAACCATGGAATCTTGGCAAGACTAGATTTCTTCTCCACTGACCCTTGCATTGGCCAAGTAGCTGTTCACAAATGTGCTGTTATCAGCATACCCAAAGGCTCCTGGAATTAACATATCATTGCTGGAATCCCTTCTGGCCCGCTACTTTTATTCACGTCTAAACATCGCAGAGCTCTGAGTACCTCTTTTTGGCGTATGTGAACTGGCGCCATACTGCAGCCATTGTGAGGTAAAGAAGGTGGTAGGTTCCGTGCGGTATCCCAGTGCGAGTTTTCTGCAAAGAGTGAAGCAAAAAGATTCGCTTTCTCTTCCGCAGTATGAGCCAGCGAGCCATCCGGTCTCAGCAGAGGTGGTAAGGTAGAGAGGCTAAAGTTTGATTCGACCGCTTTGGCAAGGGACCAAAAAGACTTGCTGCCAGCTGGAAACTGGAGGCAAGTTTGGTCCCTATGGGGCGCACATGGTCGAACTTTGGACTGCGTAATACTTTGTTGCACTTCATGGCGGCCTTATTAAAAGCTTTTTTCAGATTCCGAGTACTCGGAGCTTTGCGCAGTCGAGCATCTGCCCTTTAATATATTCTAAACGTATATAAGCACGTATATATACTCCAAATGTTACCCAAATTCGACAAACGGTTACAACGTGACAGAGAAATAAACAACTATCTAAACTTTCACTTGTATTATAATAAAGATTCTACTCAATACAAACCTTCAGGTGATGTTCTTTCAGCATCGCTCAGATGGTGAATCAAGAAATCAGCAAAGGCGCCCTTCTTTTCTAGCAACTGTTGGTACGTGCCGGCTTCAGAGATCTCGCCCTCTTTCAGTACTAACACAAGGTCAGTCTGTGCCAAGTACGACACGTTGTGCGTCACCCATACTCTCGTCTTGCTTTTTAAGAGACCGTTCGGACCGATGACCTGACGAAATATAGTATATAGGGTTATTTGTAAAATACTATAACAACCTCGTAGGACTATATTACTAACAACAAAAACAAAAATTTTTGATTCATGACTTTTTACAAATAAACTTTTAAGTTTTTGTTGCACTATCTGAGACTTTAGATCTGTTAATCTGAGTCACACATGATCGATACAGTACTTTTTTTCTCTTGAGCATTATGCCTGTCTATGGCAAGTACTAATTGCTTAGTTCGAGTGTTACCTTGTCGAATATGTGTTTCCCAACGTGCGAGTCGACGGCGCTGAGCGGATCGTCGAGGAAGTAATTGTCCGCGTCGAAGTACACCGCTCGCGCCAGCGACACGCGCTGCTTCTGACCTCCGGACAGGTTAATGCCTAGCCAACAACAACATCCGTTCAGGTTTCGACATAAAAATAAATTGTGTTCACCGTTCTGCAAGTATACCTTTTTCGCCGATTTCAGTCTGGTCACCACCGGGCAGCACGTCGAAATCAGGCTTGAGTGCGCACACGTTGATCACGTTGTTGTACTTGTATTTGTCGAGTTGCTTGCCGAACACAATGTTGTCCTGCAAAGTCGCGTTCTGGATCCAAGCTTGTTGGGGAACGTACGCAACGCTTCCTGTGAACAAATACAAAAGTTACCTTCATGTAATTATTAAAACAATACTATTTTTTCTTTTTCAATTGTTTTTGGTTTGTTATACATCTAAAGCAATGCATGCTGTGGTTTCGACTGTTTAATTTATACCCACCCAGCTTGCATTGTAACTCTTTTTAAATCGATTTCTGAGTAGTTTTGAGAGATTTTAAGGCAATTTACAATCTGGGCCCCAGAGTGTCTTTGAGAGATAAGTAACTCATAGTACATTTTTAAAATGTTATTATATTTATGTTAAGAAAAATATTTTTTTTTTTCATGAAAAATAGTGACTATAACATTAATACGGGGAATAAAAATAAACTAGCTGTTCTAAATCTCAAATTCATTTCAGGATGAATGTATACGCTATTATAATAAGATTCCGATTGATATTCAAAATTTGCCATTTACGAGGTTTAAAACTATTGCGAAACAAAAACTTGATACTAAATGTTATTATACAACTTCTGCATACATAGATGACAAAAATCCGTGGTAGTGACCCGTTTAGCTCTTTCAGGAATTCTTGATCTAAGATGTTTAAATTAAATATTGTAATGATAAATGTATTCATATGTATATTTACAAAGAGTTTCTTGCTCACTTTTCTCAGGGGAATTTGCTCTACGAATGACCAGTAGAGTTTAATAAGTATGACGATCAAGTGTAATTTGCTTATCTATGAAATAAAGATTATTTGATTTGATTTGAGAATAAAACATTATAGTGTGTATTGTTTAGAATATAGCCGATGAGGGTGCCAACTTGCCAGTGGTGTTGACGCGCCCGGAGACCTTGTTCATCTCCCCCAGCAGCGCGGAGAGCAGCGAGCTCTTGCCCGAGCCGACGGCGCCCACCACGGCCACCAGCGAGCCCTTCTTTATGTTGATGTTGATGTTGCGCAGAGTCGGCTCCGGCTCGTCGCCCCACGAGAAGTGACCGCTTTCGATCAGTATAGGGTTGGCTGCAACAATAACACTTCGTTAGAATCTCCGCGGATTACATTTTCATTTACAGACTTATGCTTATGCTTGGCTTGCCAATTTTGGAGAGGCTCTGTATCATTAATATCAAATATGTCAATATACTTACGTTCTTTGGGATCGTGCTCTACGGAGTTTACGTTGAGTTCATCACAGTTCATGAATTTGTTCAATCTCTTAATACCAACAGCGGTCTGCAAATTAGGTAAATATTATAGACAACTATGTTCGACATAAAAAATTTTCTTTTATTGTTTCCGTCACCAAGCTTTGTTTATCAGGCAAGAAGCAAAGACTATGATCGTCCGGGTCTTTAATCAGCCTCGTGTTAGTCACAGAAGAATAAGTGAAGGTATTAATTATTTAGTATGATCGGCAATATAATAATTTATTATTAGAATGCTGAGTAATTTCTTCGTAAATAGTAGACAATCTTAAGTCAGAGAAGTAGTTTAATTGCTATAATGATAATTTTAGGCCTTTATATATATATCGAAAGTGTCTAGGGATCAAACACGGTTTTGCCAATTACTAGAAATTAGGATTACCAATTTTTTTTTTAACATCAATGGATGTTTTTGGTCAAGTATATAACTTGAATTTAAAAACGGAATTGACCAAAAAATCCATCATGTATAATTTTAAACTGATGTGCACGAAATGTCTTATTATCGTAGTATCGTCCCTACAGAAAGTTGAAAGATGCGCAACTTACTATTCACGAATAATCACTTACACTGGCTCTAAGCTTCAATTTCTACTGCCTACGTTACTGCACATACAAAGACTAAAAAATCAAAAACTTACTTGAACAATATTCGATATAACATTAGGCAGCATGGATAATGGGAAACGCAGTATATTGAAAAGAGACAACGCTACGAAAGCCCTTTTAGAGTCCAGCACTTCTGTGTCATTAACCAGTACGAAACACCCGAACGACATCAGCGAGACCTAAGACCATACAAGTGGATTAGCGTTCCATGCAATTTCGGGCTCGTTGTACCATGGAAGAAAACGGGACGTTCATTACAACATGTCGACCGATAAAAAAATTATAACTCTATGATAAACGCTTCGTTTCTCGCCACCGGCAAACAGGTTGTTTAGTGAACATCCCCTTAACTTGGGTGTTATTATAGCCATTATAAACAACCATCATCATAAGACACTGGCTATAATGTTGCCAAGCGCAAAGATTGTATCAATTGCCATTTCATTGAAAATCGGTTGTCATTGTGACTTTCGCAAATTATTATAGATAACGTTAACAAGTTTGTACTTAGATAATATTTCCGAGATGCGATGAAAATAGCGACAATAAATCTAATGATTCACATGAATAGCTAAAGATACAAAGTGGCAAACATCGTACGTAACTTATCGAGCATTTGTTTCCAACCTGTTAAGCAATAACGAATGTTGTTAGTATGTTTGTGTATAAGACAAAGAACCACAGCCTCTGAGACGTAGAGGTGGTTAAAATCTAGGTTCTACCTCCACAACGGACACCACTATCAGTGGCAGCAGTCCTAGTGGCAAATGCATTGTGAAAAACAGGGACATCGACACGAAAATCTTTTCGGCTGTCAGTATATTGTTGTCGGGGTCGGATATCACATATGTGAAGAAAGTTAAGAAGGTCACCTTGAACAAAAACAGTTTGTCTTAAGTAATAACTTATCACTATTTGCGGAAATTTGTTTTTATTGCCTATTTCTACGATAGTAAACATTCATAAATAGGGGCATATACTAGGTATATTTTAAGAACGTGTGAGAAAAAAATATGTATGTTTCCATTGTGGTGTCTACAATACAATAATTATATTATAAGAAATAAATGTAGTGCATTGTCTCTTTGAACAGCAAAAGTAATTATTCAAAAAAACAAAGATGAAGTAGATTGTGTTGTTGCACTTGTTGTATTGTTGCTATGACGAACCAAGTGTCGGTAAAATTTATGACAGTACGGTATTATTTCTCAGTATTTGTTAGCTTCAGGTGGTGTTGTTCACTGAAACTGTATTAAAGAGTTTCTTATCTGCACGTTATTTATGTTGTGTTTATTTAATCCATTGGAATGTTGTTTATCATAAACTGTCAATAAGTGCAACGGTTCAAGGGGTCCTTATTCAGGCCTGGAATATAATTTATTTGAAGTCCTCGAGAATTAAGCTATTTTTTAGGATGTAATTATATTTTTTTCTAAACAAACCAACATTTCGGGTTTATCACTGGTCTCATGGTCACGGCTGACTGATTTTTTCATTTCATAAGAACTGGATAAGTCCTTGGAAACTTTTCTAATAATATTCCTTTCAAGTAACAACTACATACTTAGAAAAAACATAACGAAACATAAATAGGGTGGTATTAAAGTTTCATTATGATTCGGTTAAGAATATAGTATATGCTGGTAATTTATTAGTGTATTTTACTTCCAGTATCTATATTACTAAAATGAACAATTTCTAACGCGAGAAACCAAGTCAAATCGCGAAAAAAAAGACGTACGAGACGGATATTTTAGACATATTTCAATATTTGAGATTTGAAAAATACTTATTTGAATTAGTAACCTGCTAGAAAATCATCATAATTATATTTGACAATATGTGTTAAAGACATTCAGCGTAGTCATTTGTTATGGTTACCGGTAGTTTATCTCATAAGTAGTTGTAAAAATCTGTGTTCGTAATATTTTAAGTTGATAATAAAAATCAACATTATTTCAACAAGAAAATGAGATAAGTGAATTTAAACATGTTTATTTATTGTAATCAAGAGTAATATAGTAGTAATATATTGACGATTATGAAAGCGATAAGGGTTATTATAATTGTATAAATCATCTGATTAGTTATACACTAATATATTAATCAGTGAAGATTTGTATGAAACAGTCGTTTCTTATCGGAGCATTACTAAATAGCTACTGTGAAACAATGTTCATTGATATTCAAAGTATCAGACAAAGATTATTAATTTGGCAGCATTACAGGGGTATCATTACACATATAAACATACGTTATAATAATTTTAATCAACAAAATTCAGAACAGTTACGTTATGTATTTTCGACATTAAGTTTATTGGCATAATACACACAGAAACTTACCAAAAACGGCGCACAAGACCATATAAATGAAGTAGCAGAATTCAAATAGGCAGTTTGTTTTAGAACATTCATTTCTTTGTTCCTTATTTTAAGTATTTGGTCCTCGAAGCTTGGTTCCCAAGCATACATTTTAAGTACCTGGAAATCACAGATTAGAAAAAATATACCTACTCAATGATGATTTTGAAACGATACAGAAAACCTTCGAAGATTAATAACGAAACGATATTTTGACCATCTTGTTCTATATGTAAAGGGTCGCTCTCTATAATACATCGTCTTTCGTTATAAGTTCCTTGACGACTTCGGTGACCCAGCGGTTAGTTAGTCCCGTTAAGACCAATTTGGGAAATCAACTGTTCTGGTTCTGCTCTGGTTGTTTAGGACAGTGCGTTGGTGTTAATTTCGTTGTTCTGGTACCCACTATGGGTACAGTTGGTTCGATTATTCATCATTAGGCAATCAATATAAATTAATACGTACTTTACTGGACATTGATGTATGAGTAAAATAATATATAATTTATGAGAACCTTGTAATATGTTGCGATATTGATTAATAATACTACATAAATATTTCGATGACCTTGCATAATCTGAATCTACTTTTTAAATTGTTAACATGACTTCCGCGAGAGTAATCTAACGAAACATTGATATTCGATAACAGAATCAGTGCTAACACCGGATCGGTTTATAAGGTATTGAATATTGAAACTTGGGATTTCACATTTGGTAATCAATTATTGAAATAACTATCAGGCTACTTTTTAATACGAATGCATCCTCCCTTCTTCCCTGTATCACGAATCTTCTTTTATTTATTTAGATTAAAATACGAAACTTTCCTGTATTACGAATGCATCCTTCAGTGAGTGTAACCAATCGGAAGATCGGTTACGGTAACGGAAGTTACTGCCACCTTGATGTCACAGAATCAATGAAATCAATCTTGATATACGCTACATGTCTATTTTTGGATAGAATGTTAATTCATTCTGGTCATAGTATTATTTTTATTTCAACACAGAAACACTACAACAACAAGTAATAGTGAAGCAAACTTGAATGACCTCGATGGGATCGCACTCGGTCACATACATACGCAGATATCATTGGTGTTATCGAGAAGATAGCGAGTGAGCGGGCACGAGCAGTGAGATGGTGAACGCTCCTCACATGAATAACGACCGAACGCAATTTCATTTATTTACGAATTTTAATAACCTAATGAGAATAACGTGATTATTACTTACTTTAATTCCATTAAGCACCTCATTCATAAGTTTGACTCGTTCGTCTTTGTACTTCATCTGTCTGATTTGTAATGTTTTAACTCTATTGGCGATCAACCCGTTTACGGGGATGAGCACTATCATAACGGCGAGGCCGGCTAGCACGGACGGCCCTAAGATGCCCCAAAGGAAGAATAGGGCAAGTGCGATTTGAAGCGGCGCTGACCATATCATATTTAGATACGCTGTTAGTTCTAGAAACCTGTAAAAAGGATTTAAAACTCAGCGACCTTATTTTACGACAACAAAGATGTACATTAAATACATTCTGATATTTGTCGATGGAATTAAGATTACAGCCGATGTCGTATGACTAACAAAAACTATCAACTTTAGAACTTTAAGACACTAAAGTAAATAGGGACCAAGTAAGCTAAGGTTTGTTTAAAGTAACAATGTTTATCCTACAAATGATTTAGGGTGAATTTCACGTTCCGAATTTCAATGGCACTTTTTGAGTGATTTTTGTGAAACTCTTTTTCTTTTGGTTTTAAAGTCTAAAACGTACAAATAAGTTCAAACAATGTCAATAATTATTAAATTACAGAAATATTTAAGTGAACTACAACAAAAAACGATATATTAGGTCAAAGGAATGAGATTGCGTTAACACAAATGATTTTCTCATAAACTTGTAAAATTTATTATTATAACACACATTTTATCGTTGACAAAAGAACATTTAACATGTAACAAATATTTTAATATCATTTCTTGTATCAAAATTCTTCTGATCTGTCATCTATCTACTTAGGTAATAAATAAATAAGTATTTTGTATGCTATACTGATATTTAGCATGTTTAGCATGCATGATCACCATTATCATCAGCACCATTCACATCATCACAATTATTATCATCACTACAATCATCATTATCACTATCACACCATCGTCAAAATATCATCGTCGTCACCATCTAATTGCTATATTTAAAGTAAGCGTTTGACTTAAAGTAACTATTTAACTTAAAAGTCCACAAGAATGAAAGCGACAAGAATTACATTTTTGATACATTTTTAGTTGTCAAGGTCGCAGAATATTCTGGACTGTTATAAAAATGCGTGGATTTTAAAGTTCCCGGTGTCTAATGATGCACAATAAAGTTTATAACATAATACTTATTTATATAGATTGCTTTACGTGAATGAGAACGATTTAGTAACTGACATTGGTAATAAGTCGATCTTTTGCTAAAATGGATATGCACTGTATACACTCCAATCCGACAGGAGCACCTTCTCACGTGTGCGAAGGGTGAAGGTTTTTAGTTGAAATAACACTAATGATAAGAAATTTGTATATCCAAGAAAACATATTTGTTTATAATAAATTGGAAAGTTACGGTATGTATTCGACGTAAAAGTTATTAGACTTTATCCTCGATGGGAAATATTGCAATTTCTACGAGTGTTTAATTTTCTTCCTTCATTTCTTAAAAATAGGGACGTGGAACCGGCTCCGATGAATTAGAAATAACCCACTTTTTTAATTTTTATTTATTACTGTGGCGTACTAGTCTTTTTATGTGTGTGTGTTTAACTGCCTCCGTGGCCAAACGGTTACCATGCTGGACTGCCACGCAGAGGTCCCAGGTTCAATTCCCGGGCAGGGAGAAATATTTGTATGGCCTACATTTATTTATCTCCTGAGTTTGGGTGTAATTTGTGGTTGTCTATGTGTGTGTCCATGGCACCCGCGACACAGGGTTTCCCTAGCACGGGGCTATGTTGATTGCGTTATTATTATTATGTATACCACGGGCTAAGTAAACAAGAAATCATATTAAATAAATAATGCTTAGCATAATATAAAAGTTATTGAAAGGGACACATTTTTTGAGGTCATCTGAAAACAACCCTTAACTTAACTTCACATAACATTGCGCGATGTTGAAAACCCTTTTAGACTAAATTGTTCACACAAGTTGTTGATTATTTAATTGCGTGAGAGTCAAACCGGCTAATATTTTTGTCGATATTTGTGTAATTGTAGGTTGTGCAGTTTGCGACGAAATTAAGGGTCGTATTCTAGAACTCTACTCAATGCTCAAGTCAAGATTGCACTGGAAACACAAGCACTGGAAATACGACCCTAATGGCAGGGACTTGAGTATGATTTCGAGTGCTTTAAACCATACTCAAATCCTGACTTGAGCGTTAAGTAGAGTTCTAGAATACGACCCTAAGAGTTTAAAGATTTAAAAGATATCTGAACATTGCATCAACCTTATATCAATGACATTAAGGGTCGTATTCCAGAACTACTCAATGCTCAAGTGAGGATTTGAGTAAGATTTAAAGAACTAGAAATCATACTCAAGTCCTTGATATTAGGGTCGTATGTCCAGTGCTTGAAATCATACTCAAGTCCTGACTTGAGCATTGAGTAGAGTTCTGGAATACGACCCTAAGTTTAAATTGAACCTACATATAATTGGTTTAAAATCTATATTTAGCTAGTTTTTATAAGATATTTTTGATATTGAATGGTGACATCACAGCAAATTTGACGAATGATCTGCAAACGGGCTTTATGCAGATTGATCATTCGTCAAGGATTTGAATCTTGTACGATACGGAAATCAATCAAAACTCTAACTGACAGTGTGTCGTTATCTACGGATCCGAGCGGAAATTTAACAGACTTCAAAAAGGAGGACATTTTTCAATTCGACTGTACTTTTTTGTGTATGTTACGCAATTACTCCAGTATTTGTGAACCGATTTTGATGATTCTTTTTTGTTTGAAAGAGGGTACCTCAGTATTGGTCTCATTTAAACTTGAAGAAAATATTCCACTTCTAAGGGTCGTATTCTAGAACTCTATTCAGTGCTCAAGTCAGGATTTGAGTATGGTTTAAAGCACTCGAAATCATACTCAAGTCCCTGCCATTAGTCGTATTTCCAGTGCTTGTGTTTCCAGTGCAATCCTGACTTGAGCATTGAGTAGAGTTCTAGAATACGACCCTTGATCTGATTTCGCGCACTTTCTGGTAACCGATTTCAATAAAATTGATAAATAAATGTAATTTCACGAACTTTTGAGGTGGGTTTTTTTAAGTTATAATTATTAGTTAGAATCAAAAGAATTGACATAAATAGCAATATCTCTGTGTTTTTTATTGTTAGTCTCTTTTGTGTGTTTAAATAATGTGTACTTTACTGTACTGTGGCCTTCAAATTAGACGCTTGTAGAAGATCTGCAGGCGCGCGTCTGTAGCGCTTTAGTAATTTTTAGTTTACTAATTTATGTATATATTTTTTAAATTTATTTAATTAGTTTTGTTAAATAATTTGTGTTGCTGCAGCGCTTCTACATATAAGCGTCTAATCAGAAGGCGCTATTAAGCTTTCTTTCTTTCTTTTCTTTCTTTCTTATAATATATTGTGGTTCCTTAAGACTGTACCAATTAGATCAAATAATGTTTACATATATAAACACAAATGAGTAACAGTCGTACGACCAAATTTGTCATAAATATACAGTAATAATCTAGAATCACATTATAAAACATTTTGCTGCTCTTTGATAGGGAAAACCGTGTTATCTTTAGTTACCTAAGCTGAATTTTTTATAGCCCTCAAGTAAGGTGTTTTATTATATATTTGTATGATCATATTAATGATTGCACAAGTATTACATAATATTATGTTATTCTGTTGTCGCTGTTACTTTAGCTGTACCCGTTTGTGTGTTTCAACTTTGATAACGTTGTGCAAATATGAGATTGCAAACATACTATTGAGCGATGTTAGCTATTTCAAGAGATATAGTAATTAAGTGAAGGGTGTAAGAAAATAAGAAATAGTGCCGATATTGTTTATTTTAGAGCTAAATGATAATTAGCCAAGATAATTTTTTATACAATTTGCCATCATGAAAACTATGCCCAGTAGCCATGTGCTAGATTTACCCCATGTTTAAGCGTTGTTCTTGAAATTTTGATATAATGTGTAACTCACATACCTTTGCGCATCAACAGACATCAAATTAACAATTTCACCGACAGTGGATTCCTTTCTCGCAGAGTTTGACATCCTCAAAGACTTTCTATAAATGGCACTGGTGAGGGCGGTCCTTATCCTCATGCCGACAAGGTACATTCGAGTGAAGTAGTGCGCGAGTAACGTGGTCTGTACAGTCGCACATGCCAATAGCGCGACCGCGTATAAGTAGCCTTTCCATACCGGCTCTTTACTTTCTGTAAAACTTATTAGAAGTCTGAAAAAAAAAATTGAAATTGTATTAAAACAAGGAAATGAAAGCAAAACTAATCTTGCCATTCGTTATTCGCTGTGACGTCCATTATTTAAGATTGATCGACAGTGCTCGAGTGACGTCATCGTACACTTCAATACGACGTCACGATGATGAATCATTCATTTTGTTGAAATAGGTCCAATAGTAAACATTACTTTGAACTATTAGCATATAATTCTCCAAAACGAAATTACTAAGGACATGATAAGATTATGCCACGTTTGTGTATTATTACGACAAAAAAACGAATTTGTTTAAACAAATTAGTTTTTTGTCGTTAAATTCTGGAATGTAACAACATAATATTTTTTGCAGTCGAAACACGTGAAAATTGATGAATAAACAGTCAGTATACATATACATTGAAGCTTAGGTACTTTCATCTCAAACACGTTTGACTAGGCAAAAGGTGTTAAGTGGGTAGAATAAATTTGTAAAACTCACTTGAGTAGTTGTGGCGAGAGGAACATAAGAATGTCGTTGGCGAGTTTAAGCACGGATCCAAAGAAAAACTGCGGACCAAAGGCTAGGCATAGCGCCGGCAGGATCGACGCAGGCTTCCGTTCGCTCTCTGGCTTGAAATTCACACTCGCTGAAGTTTTACTGTATGTCGCTTTTGCACTGTTTGTGCTGAAATTTGGACTGGTCGTTGTAATCCTAATCAATTTTATTCTAATTCTAAGACGTATTTCACAAAACTCTACGAAGACTATTCAAATTCAATGTAAAGAAGATTTATGAATCGCCAATTAGAATCATTTTACTTTTCTATATAAAAAAGGAAAAATTTGTACGTATTATATCTGTTGCATTTTATCTGATTATACCATTCGTACAAACACATTATTAGCTGCAATAACATATGGTGAGTGTAATTAAGACGTAAGCTACCGAATCTTATGTTCACATTGTAAGTTTCATAATAATAAAAGTGAATACATTCGTGATAATAGTTTTCCTACTACTTTATCGATTGGAGTTTTGCTGTACCTATATTAGCTTAAATGGCTTTGTTCACTTACACTTCTCGTTTCTTTAATGTCCTCTGCCAGTATTTTTCGAATCTCGGAACCACTTCTTTAGAAGAATCAGGAGGATTCAGCGCCCAGAGGTCACTCTCAGTGAGACTCCTACGGAAGCCTGTGAGTGCTAGAGGATCGAACCAACTGAATGTCAGCCGGCTAGGGAATCCTGACGCGCTTTCTGGGCATTGATTCTAAACAAAATATAATTATAAACATAACTAACCAGAACAATGCTCTTATGAATGGCGACACCCCTAATTTTCTTGTTTAGCAAGTCAGGTACATTTGATGACATGTTTGTTCCGAACCGACTGTTGTGTTTCGGTATTGTCTTGAAACCATACAAGATTATAGTTGCTATTGTATGACGTCGGTATATTAGAGTTACACAATATCCCGGCAGCCCCGTGCCGTCGTTAATCGCTCCACATCGCGCAAGCGTGGAAACGAAGCCGATTTTGAATGTCACTTATTTACGTTGCCGTTGTCTTAAGTGCCGTTAAGGTCATAAAGCACCAAGCCATATTTCATCGTTTTTATACTTCAAAATTTAAATACAATTGACCTCGGCGATGTCGAACATAACATCTGGTTATTTTAAATTAAGCAGTAATATTTGATTAGGTCAAGGCTACATAGCATAAGGAAAAATGTGTAATTTAAATTACCTTTTCGAATTTGTACGGAGTATCTTTGGGTGGTAAGTCGGCGAAACAATTGAGTAAAAACATCAAGAAAATAAGTGGGTAATATATCATGTAGCTAACGAAGTAGTATTGGACGTTTTCATCATCAGCGGTGTTATAGTGGGCCCTTATTTCTGTTCTGAGCTGGGGCAGCCCCGCCAGCACCAGTAGTAACCAGAAGAAGAAGAGTACTCCTGATGCTCTCATACCATATTTCCTATTGTAGTATAATAATGTAGCTGACAAACCCTGCAAGAAAAAGCACCGTTCATTCGCCCGTACCTGCACCGGTAATACTAAAGCTAAAGCTCATACGTACAAGTATTAAATCATCGGATTACATTTACGAATAGAATAATTAAATGTGTTCTACGAACTTAAGGAGTTATATCATAAACGAAGTTCTCAGAATAACCAGGCAGTTATTGCGAACCAACTTTACTAGTTAAAATGGTTACAGGTATTATAATCTAAACATTATACATTTCACCACTTTCGAAACTTGGAACTGTGTAGTCAAATATATTATAGAATCGTCGGCAATAGTGATAAGCAATCTTTTTTTAAAAAAAAGGTAAATACTCATGGAACGTAAAAGTCATCCAGTACATAGTAAAAATAGTTCAATTTGCACACATTATTATGAGTCATTGTGTTGTTGGTCGGCTCCAGCGGGCGGGTTGATTGCAGACAACTCTATTTCTCTATTCAAGTTTTTATACAAAAAAATACAGTAATGACGGTCTCAGCGAAGGCCACGCGTATTCAAAGATCCGTTTAGAATACCGTAGTGGTCAGCATTCAGCGCAATGATGAAATCAATTAACTTTTAGGCAAAACCGCATTAAAAAAAAAAGAATTCTCGTTAAAGTTTTTCATTTATAAAAGCAAAACTTAATACGCTACACTGTTCCGAACAACATAAGTATATATATGAAATTGTGCAAGTCATTGTTACTACCCAAATTTATACGTATGTACACAATGAAAATACATGCGTAGAACGATCTAATGCATGATATAGAACACATTCATTAACGAGAGGAATTAAATAGTACTTGTATAAACTACAATCAAGGGACATGATAAATTACCTTCTGTAATTATTACTTGGTGAGATTGAGTACGTCACAGACAAGGTTTTCGTTGTATATAAATAATAATAATAATAATAATAATAATAATAATAATAATAATAAAATTATTTAATTGAAAGGTGTCTATTCAACAAACTCGTAAGAAAAAAAAATTAAACTATTTTAAGGTCACTAATCCATTGTATATAGCACCGTTGTGGAAGAGCTGCAAGATTGCATATTATAAGGGAGCCACAGACAACAAGTGTCCAGCGATCAAGCCCGTTATTGCCAATATTACTGAAAATCAGGTTTTTCAACCAATTATATTTTTAACTCCAATGGCTTTTAGGTGTAATTTCATAATTTAAAAAATGAAAAAGTAATTTAATAAACTTATAAATACATTTTTATTTAAATTTAATACGGTAGTAAAATGTTTTTAAAAAATACCTTGATTCCTAGACACTTTTGATGAGTGTATGTGGGAGATCCGAAAATTAAATGGAAATAATACACAATAACGCTTTATTACGATGGCAATGACGCAATACCATAAAAAAAATTGAAACAAATTATGTAATACCAATCATCTTGCTTGCCCGCGGACAAAGGTCAAAATTAAATATTTCTTGCAGTAGATACTTGACCACTTGTTTAAACATTATTATAAAATAAAACATTACTGAATACTTTTGTTTCGCAATATAATAAATTGTATTTTAGTGTACGCTCTTAAAAAGGTATTTGGAATACACTTGTACGTAAACGGAACAATCTCGAGTTCTTGGGCCTGACCTAAGGTATCGTTAGTTTGCATAAACTTCGAACGTATACGTGTAATTATTAGACATAATATTACGTGCTGTGACTACGAAAAGAGCCTTGGCCTAATGATACGATCGCCACACAGAAAAATAGTATTCAAATACTTTTATAGATGCTAGTTCGTAGTAGAAGCGGTTTAGCTTCATGTTTCCTATTTTTCGCACGTAGTTTTCTAAATTGTCTTGTATGCAAAATACCAATTTGAATGATGTAATTTTATTCACCACTGTATTTGTTACGGACTCCTTCGTATACTATTTTATTTCTTTGCTTGTTGTCACGTTGATAGATTATTTTACAAATACATGTCAAGTGAAAAGTGGAGTTTTAATTACGAGAAATAAGTTAATTTGTGGTAGTCGCAACATAAAAACATCGTCGGCATCATATTGGTCTTTCACCGAACGATCCAGTGCCTCCGACCGCCCGACAAATCGAACCGAATTAAACCGAACCATGTCGCGGCCGGTAACACACAGTTTCGCTAAGACCCAGAAGAACCCGCACTCTGAACCCGAACCATCCACGTCGACCCCTACACAAACACTCGCACCCGTTTCTTCCAAAGCAAGTACAGTCAACCATAATAATTCAGATAAAAGTGGTACAGTCCGCTCCAAAAATAGTAGTATACTATTAAAAAAAAGAGAAGCCGAGCTAGTAGCTACGAAACGGTTGGCGGAAGAGACGAAGCGGTTGGCGGAAGTTGGCACCCAAACGCACAAGATGAATCCCTTGATCACCCAACGTTGATCCCTAAAGAACGCAAGCAGAATGCCGAACGAGAAACGTATACACATTGAGCTCAGTCATATACAGCACGAGAGATTGCAAATCTCCAACGTCCCTCCGAAACGAAAGAATTGCCGTATTACAATGGAAATGACAATGAATGGCTTTCGTTCAAAGCTGCCGTTACGGAAATTAAAGCTACTTTGACCGAACACGAGCTTTTCTTCAGATTCCGACGTCGTCTAAAAGGCGAAGCTCGCGTAACTGTCGCCGCGCTTTTAGACACTCAAGTTCCGTCCAGTGAAATAATGGAAGCCCTAGAGTTACGCTTCGGTCTTCCAGAGCTAATATTACAAGAGGAAATACAGGCGCTCAAAGGTCTACCCAGACTGATCGATAACACAGAGCAGCTTAGCAAATTTGCATGCAAGTTGAGAAACTGTGTCTCGACCATAAAAGCCCTTAACAAACCGGAACTCCTCCTGAACATGGAACTTTTAAGGAACCTGAAACAAAAAATCCCACACTTAAAGAGACGTTGGATTTCATACGCTATAGAACACGAACACGTTAATAAACCTGAACTTGCCAAGCTGTCAGATTTTTTGAAAAAGGAAGCTCAATCTGTTTCAAAATATTGGTTGCACGAGTCGTCACGTTCATCATTGAAACCAACCCATTTGAACAAAACCCATTACGCAGAATTTGATGATTATGATGATCCAGAGCACTGTTACGCTTCAAATCGTACGAATAATTGCTCTGAAACAAACTGCCTACACTGCAAATCGACGATCCATCAACATCTTAAGGACTGTGACCGAATCATGCGCCTTTCAACTGATGACCGATGGAAATGAGCCGAGGAAGCAAAGGTATGCTTTAAATGTTTGAAGTCAAGATATCGTAGAGAAAATTGTCGAGCTCGACTTTGTCGCATTGATGGGTGTCGTATGTCACATAATAGACTGCTTCATTGTTCAACATATCAAAAGCCAAAAACATCAGCCTGCACACATCCATCTACGTCGAACAGTCCAATGACCTCAGAACCAGTAGCCCAAGAACCACCAAATGACAGCTTGCAGCAGAACCACTCACAGAAATCAAGTGCTACTCAAAATTATACCCGTAGAGATAAAGAGACCAACAGCATCAAAACGAACCTATGCTCTTCTGGATGGAGGCAGCACCTTGACCCTGCTAAAACAGGAGCTCGCAAGAGACATTGGGTTCAAAGGTACCATCGAACCTTTGCCCTTAGCTGCCGTAAACGCCACGACCATGGAACCGGAGTTTGAGCGAATCGACCTCCAGATCGTTGGACCTTCCGAAGCCCCATTAGAGTTGAAGACAACAAAAGATGGGAGGTAGGACTATTGTGGCGCGAAAACGATCCTGTCATGCCGAATAGCTTTTTTTATGCCTCAAAAAGCTGACGCGCTATAAAAATTGTCCGTCTCCCGACTGATCCTGAATGCGCATAGCCGCGCATTGCCCGCGAGATATGTTACGGATTCCTTCGTATACTATTTTATTTCTTTGCTTGTTGTCACGTTGATAGATTGTTTTACAAATATATGTCAAGTGAAAAGTGAAGTTTTATTTTACGAGAAATAAGTTAATTTGTGATAGCCGCAACGTAAAAGCATCGTCGGCATCAGTATTAAATATACGAATGTTCGAATACGAACTACATCTAACATTATATTATTATACGCTAAAGGACACGATTTTTAATTTATTGAATTACAGATGTGAAATGTTTATCACCAGCGTCTAATATTCAACGAAAGTTTTTTTTTTTATAATAGTATATAATAACATGAAGTGCCAGGACGAACAAGTCGTGCGCTTGATGGTAAGCCAACAGTTGCAGTGCCACTCTGAGCTTTAAATCGCAAAGATCTGAGGGGCACTGCCACTGCCCCCGTCACCCTAAGACAAGTTGACAAGTCCAATGTGCCTGTAATTTCACCAGCACCCTTACCCTTCAAAACCGGAACGCAGTAAATGCTCACATTACCGCTCGGCGGTAGAAATAGGTAAGGTGGCAGTACTACCCTAGATGGACTCATGGACTTCACAAGGAACTCTACTACTACTAAAACGTATCTAGTTTATACATTACACAATTGACATAAACTTCATTATGCTATTTACAATTTGGTTACAAAAATTAGCATCAATGTAAATTGAATCTAAGGGAGTGAATCTCATTGTATTAGCCGTTCAGTAAAACATTTATATCCATGCAATAAGAGCGAAAAATACGTTGCGCGCATCGCTTCGTCTATATTACATAAATAATACGTACGATTCGATAGGATTTGCAATAGTTACCGCAACCTGCTGGGAGATTACTTATTTAAACGGTTATTATGACACTATAGTCAAGGTGCATGGAAATAATAACTAGAATGAGTCATCTTCATTGAAAATTTAAATGTTAAATACTTACAAATGTCAGCAATTTGATGATAGGGCAGTAATAATCATTATTGGGCACTTCCTCTTCTTGTTGTGATGATCTATGGACACTTACACCTAAATCTACAAATTTTAATACTATTAAGAGGCAAGTGACAATCAATTTGCTGATATTCAGAATGTTCCATGGGATGTTTCGCTCTTTGCTGTTGAAGATGTAATAGGCTTCGAGCAGGGAAGCTACCCAGAGGTAAATGCACGGCGTCCATACCAGGACGGTTTTTTCGAAGCATGGCGTTAGGTCCGGATTTTCGGTGTGCCATGTTAGGTTACTATCCTGAAAATTAAAAACAATTTAAGTAATATACTAAATAGTACATAATTATGTATTATTATGTATGTTCCCTTTTATTCACAATCGTGTAAAAAATAGTATGATGAAAGCACCACTTGTTGAATTAAAAGCATATTTTTTTCTCAATCAAATTGATGTCAATACTATGTAAATTAATAATGAAAGTCTTTTTCACATCTTGTGCTCATACAGGTAATCATATTGCTTTGCATTGTAGACCTTTAAACACTAAAGTATTTTGCTTTTTACTATGCTTTTTAAGACTGACAACAGCAACATTATGTAAAGCAGCATGGTAAAGTAACTTAACTGAAGAAATCTCCCTAGAGTCATTGTGTGACAAAATAATGTTTAATCCTTTGCCTATATATTCTATATATGAATAAGAAATAACAACGAGAAAACCACCTACGAAAGTTAGTCCTTGGCCTATAGTTTGTTAATTCATTACTTGGTTGTGAAACTCATTAATAGGTACTTATACTAAATAACTTGTGTTACATGGACTGTTTTATACCAATGTTGAACTTACAATCTACTATCAATGATCTTTAAAAAGCTTATCACTACCTGCCTATTAACATTCTTGTTTGTATGGTGCAATACCCATGAATGACTCATTTCCTCTACAGTTCCTTCTACAATTTATTTAGTGTTGATATATCAGTTGTGTTTATTTAGTATTACAATTAATTTTGTAGGAATAATTAAGCTGAAGGTTGTAATGCTTTTATAAAAATATTCGATAGGTAACAAGATATCTATCGAAATGGTTAGTAATTTTACTTTTGTGTAAAATTGTATGCTTGTATGAATAATATATTCTAAACACAAAGAATACATTTTTATTAAAATTATTACAATATATATATTTATATTTTTATTTATGTCAATAACAATTTCTTGACTAACATAGACATTGTATTATATACCTATTTTTATATATTTATATAAAAATTTTTGTACATTAAATAATAAACATGTCACAACCATGTTATGTGAAGCAATAGCAACAATAAAATCAAATTTAAAATGGATGCAACATAATAGCATTCGTAGATAATTTTATTATATGGTAGTACCAAAAAACTGGTTCCACTCACAAGCTATTATACCTAATACAGAAAATGCCTAAGGCCAAGGTCATGGCAGTAAGCTCCCAAGATTACCACATACTTACTCTTTCTTAGAGGCAGTTTTATGATGTATTTATTTACAAAAAACATTTTAGGATATTTTTCTTGTTCATACAAAATTAACTTTTTTAAACAATAAAATTCATAGAAAAATTAAAGCCTGTATTATTTAATTAGGTCTGTAAACAACCTGAATAGATTACATCAGTTCCTTTTAATAGTAACCCATGTGGTCCTACCAGTTTTTGTTTTAATAGTTATTTAAAATAACAAGTTTGGTGAATCTTTTTTTTTTTTTGAGGAAGCTATTGTCCAACTTTGTTTTAATTTCATAGTAAAAACACTTCAATTGTCAACAACTACAATGAAATGGACAACTATTTAGAAAATAGTATCTTAAAAATACTGTCCTCACCACTTTTAAATTTTAAATGAAGATTAGACATTTATAATATTCAAATTGTTATAAAGAGTTTTGACATACAGACAGATAAATAAAGATAAAATTAAAGGGGTTCTAAAAGAGCCCTAAAAAGTATGGTAAACAAAGATTTCTTGTATCTCTAAAATAGTATACAATGTACGCACCAAATATTTAACTATTAATTATTAATGTTAAAACCCATTAAAGTCAGACTTTTTTAACTGACACTAGATCACTTTTAATGTTATTATCGTCTAAATGTTGTTCAATGTAATATTAAGAAAAAATGAACACGTAAAATACTTCTTTCAAATATAAGTTGTTCGTAGTAACGTCCTCTAATGATGTAGACACAATTCGATCAAGTTCCTATACGACTGAAGGCCGGGTTCAGGTACTCGAATGATTATAAAGTGCTGTTACCAAAGCATAAACTTACAAATATGTATCTCAGAAGGGTCAAAGGCCTACTTACCCAAAAAGGCGAACCGCAGAACTCGTCAAGCGTGGATTTATACGACATTGTCACAGTACGTGGGCAAGGATTAAAAACTGATCTATTTAGTAGTTGCCAAGGGAAGCGATAATCTACAACATTCTAATATTCGCTCTAATATTTCGTTCGTGCCCAAATGTTTTAAAAACTTTACCACCGTTCACTGACCAACCAATGTTTTAACACTATATTTTCAAATATTTCATACACTATTCTACTGAAACTGGTGAAGATCACATGGGTCAACTACGGCAATATCACAGTTAATTTATCGAAAAACTACAGCACAAGAAACATTCATGTCCCACACGCGCGACGTGACAGAAAGAGGCAGAAGACAGGCAACAGTCTGAAGTCTGAACACACGCAAGAAATAGACATTTTTTTTGTTCTATTCGTCCAAAAAGGAGAGGCTAGGGTTAAAGACCATACTGCCTCGCCTTCAGCGATCAGCTGATCTAGTCTGGAAAGTAAACATCTTTAGTAGTCTTTTTCTTATTACTTCTTCATCATTAGTATAATCTATTAATAAAACCTCTGAAAATTAGTATAATCCATTAATAAAACTTCTTCTTTCTTCGTATTCGTCTTTAGTAAAGTCCGGTAAGTTAACGTCTTTAGTAAATTCTTCTCCCCTCATTTACTTCATCTTTAATCAAATCCGACAAATTAATGTTTATCTAGTCCGGTAAGTAAACTCTATTTCTTATAACTTTCCATCAATACTAAACATTGATTAAAACTTTTGAAAATCTTCTTCCTTTGTAAAAGGAGGCATTCATTATCCTGCATTGCAGTCCGCCTTGACGCCCACCGCGTAATGCAGAATTGTAGTAGCAGCGTGCAAGCCATCTTGCAATACAGTAATGAGGTCCTGCGAGACTCCAGACTGTCAGAGCATGGATGTGCAATCTTTTACATACTGGCCGGTGTGGCAATGAGAGTGTTCGATCTTTGTATTAATGGTTACAACAAACTAGTGGAGTAATTTCACAAAAAATAATTGAATATCAATTCAATAAATCACGACGTCACAAAATCAAAAGAGAAAACCGTACCAGTAACCATTACTTTGTTTAAGGAATGATGATATGCATTACGAACCGTTACAAAACAGAGAAAGTGTTCAGTGAGATCAGAAAAATTATGAAGAGTATTTTCAATCAAGTGATAGAGATCATGCTGATGAAGTTACTGAAAGAGTAGATGACGAAGAAGAACAATGGCTGTCATCTGAAGAGGAAACATATGATCCGGAGACCACATCTGAACCTGTAGTGGTAGAACGGAAATACCCACAGAGAGAAAGAAAACCCACTCAAAAAAAGAAGAGGCATCGATTACGACGAGACGTTTGCTCTTGCTGTGAGACATAACTCGTTAAGAATGTTCATAGCTTTGGCGGCCAACTCAGGTCTAAAAATAGATCACATAGACATTAAAACCGCGTTTTTAAATGGTGATCTAAATGAGAAAGTTTACATGCAGCAGCCATCGCTGTTTACAGAAAAAGGAAAGGAAGATCACGTGTGCTTGTTAAAGAAATCTCTTTATGGACTGAAGCAAGCGCCACGTTCCTGGAACCTTAAATTGCATACTGCGCTAGAGAACCTCAAGTTCAAGTGCTGTAGACATGAATCCTGTGTATACACGAGGCCTACAGGGTAGGACAACAATATTAGACGTTTATGTAGAGGACATTCTCATTTTCTACAACAATGAGAGGGAGATGCAAAATATTAAGGAAAAATTAAAAACAAAATTCGCAATGAAGGAAAAAATCTTGGAAAAGCAGAACTATTTCTTGGGTGAGAGATTCAACAAAAAATTTTCGAGAAAAAGGTTGCATTAAAATCGAGCAAGAGGGCTACATTGAAAAGCTTCTTTACAGGTTCAAGATGGAAAAATGCAAGGCAGTTAGTTCACCAGCAGTTCCTGGGCAACGATTTGAAAAATGGAAAGAGTGTACAAATGAAAATTTAATCTACAGAGAACTGATAGGCTTACTGATCTATATAGCAGTATGTTCAAGGCCACATATAGCACATGCAATAAACTTCATGAGTCAGTTCTGCAACTGTTATGATGAAGTGCACTGGATCGCAGCTAAAAGGATCTTGAGATACTTAAAGGGTACCAAGAGCATGGGGCTTGTATACTCTAAAGACGTGTCTTGGAGAAATATTCAAGATTTGCAGATGCTAATTACGCTGGAAATATAATAGACAGGAGGTCATACTCCGGCAACGTGTTCAAGATGGCAAATGGTGCCATCTTTTGGCAGAGCACCAAGTAAAGATGTACAGCCTTATCGACAGCTGAAGCCGAGTACATCAGCTTATCAGAAGCTATAAAGCCATAATTCTACAGCGATTTCTGAATAAAATCACGGGCAAGGAGCAGTTGCTTATCACGATACATACAGCTAGTCCATCTGCTATGGCAATAGCCCTAAATCCAGTGCAACATCAGCAGACAAAACATGTTGATGTTCGCTATCATTTTAGTAGAGAAGCATTAGAAAGGGATACTATAAAGCTCAAGTATTTAGAAACCAAGTGCATGGTTGCTGATGCTTTAACGAAAGCAGTTTTAAAGGGCAACTTTGAGTTTTGCCGTAGATAAATGGGTGTGTGTTTTGGTAGTATATAATTGTATATTGTGCCAGGTGTAAATAATTGAGGAATAGTGTCAGAGCATGGATGTGCAATCTTTACATACTGGCCGGTGTGACATTGAGAGTTATTCTTTTTGGAATTTAAATTTACTTTTTGTCACTTCGTAGAACTCTCTTCATGTCAAGTTGTGTTTTATTCACGTTATATATTATTTAATAAAAACCTTTACTAAAATATTAAGATCAGTTTTCTCATTTATTGAAAGAGCCGGAGGAGCTTTATTACATACGTGAGCCATATCTTAGAGGATGGAAAAAAAATAAAGGCTTACGCAGAATAGTGTGTGAGCAGTTTCCTGCCTGCGCGTTGGACTGCCATGCAGGTAGTGAGTGGGTCGTTTAATATTAGTCTTCAGTAAATACTGATATGTCAACTTGTATATGTCAAATCTTCTCCCCTCATCTTTTTTTTTCATTCTCTAAGCCCCTCATATATTTCTTCATCTAAATTTAAATCAAAGGAGTAGACAATAAAATATTTTGTTTTTTATAGCCTACCTACTACTAACCAACCTACTACTGTAGGGTAATTTTCCGAAAAGTTGCAAATAGAGAACATTTTTCTGGAAAAATCCCGACTAATTAGAAAAATTTGAAAAATTGGACGTTTACAAATATCTTTCGAAATTTTGAATTATAAAATAGCCTTTAAAATAATTATAAAATTAACCTTGTTTAGCTAAAAACGAGATTTAAAATGATTTCACAACAGCGAAAAAAACATTTCTAATGGATCCATCGTTTTCATTCAGTAATTTCAATTTTTGATAGGTATCAACATAAATGAGAAAATTAAAGGAAAATGTTGGAAAAATATTCAGAAAAATATAATTTTTCTGAAAAATATATTTTTAAAATGGAATTTCTTTTAAGATCCAAACGTAGTTCACTAAGTAGTCTGTGAGCCAACACTACCTATCACTATCATTATTGAATTAAATATCTGTCACACTATCATTTTACTTGCCATTTATTTTCACAAGTAGAAGAACGCTGGCGATAATGCTAGAAAATGGAACATATTTTTCAGAGAAAATAAATATTTTTCCGAATATGTTTTTACTCATAGGGTAATTGCAAGATTTTTACAATTATTATTATTTCCTTTATGGCGGTCACTAGGCTTGTAAGAATAAGAATAAATAAAAATTGCCAGAATCAGTGAATAAAATCCGTGTTCGGATTTTTACTATATTTTTTCCCATAGCCTAAGACATAATTTATCAAAGTGGTCCCTACCATTAAGCGCTGAAAAGTCCTGGGGCATCAGAAGCAATTGGGGGGCATTGATACTATCTAGGGGTGCTACCTTATTTGAAAAAAAAAAGCTGATTTATCTATATGAACGACACTACATAATTTATGTACATTATTTTTTCTTGTGATTTTTGTGTATAGCTATAAAAATACGTGTTTTCAATTATTTTTTGTGGTGGCGGGCATTGAAATTTTTTTATCTTGTCTTAGGGTTGTATTCTATAACTCTACTCAATGCTTAAATCAGGATTTGAGTACGGTTTAAAGCACTCGAATTCATACTCAAGACCCTGCCATTAGGGTCGTATTTCCAGTGCTAGTGTTTCCAGTGTAATCCTGACTTGAGCATTGAGGGTCGTATTCTAGAACTCTACTCAATGCTCAAGTCAGGATTTGAGCAGACTTGGGTATGATTTCAAGCACTGGAAATACGATGCTAATGGCAAGGAGTTGAGTATGAATTCGAGTGCTTTAAACCATACTCAAATCCTGACTTGAGCATCAATATTACTTAATTAATTAATTATTAATAATGCTCAAGTCAGTATTGCACTGGAAACACAAGCACTGGAAATACGACCCTAATGGCAGGGACTTGAGTATGATTTTGAGTCCTTTAAAACACACTCAAATCCTAACTTGAGCTAGGGTAGTATTTCCAGTGCTTGAGATCATACTCAGATCCTGACTTGAGCATTGAATAGAGTTCTAGAATACGACCCTAAGCGGGCGCCGAGTCAAAAGGTTTGGGTATCTATGGTCCAGGATTTTGCCACATTTGATATTTACATCTGTCAAAAGTTGAAGATACTGAACGAAAACGATGGAATAAAAATAAAAAGTTAAGGTAGCTTGTCTATGGAAAAGCGTCCAAAATTCCGAGATTTCCGAAAGATTTCTTTTTGTTATAACTGAAATTGTAGAAAAAATGCCAAAAATTTGGTAACTCGTAGGAAAGCAGAACATTTATCGTTGTCTAAACTTACTCAGCTTAATGGTATTCATCGTGTACTTCCTTCCTTACAGTTGAATATTTATCATTGTTGAGTAAAAGTTACGGGACTTTCTACCGAAAATGGCAGAGTATTTAGCTGCTATCTTCGGCACTGAAAAAGATAAGTAAGTATAATAAAAGCTAGTTCATAGTTTACTTGGCAGATCTTAAGCAACAGCCGTTATTGGGTAGGTACTAGATGTTTAATTCGTCGTGGACAAGCGGCAACGGATTAGAGAAAATCATACAATTTTGTGACTCCTGACTCCGAAATGAATTTCATCCAATTATCCATATGTGTCGTACATATAGGTGTAGAACTTCTTATTATTGTAGGCTCAACACTTTTTATAGGTTATGCTGATTGAGGTTAGTTTCAACGTCGCGGTATTTTAGTGTAATTTTATTGCTTTCAGAGTAAACTGTTCCTTCTACTTCAAGATTGGAGCATGTCGTCACGGGGATCGATGTTCTCGTATCCATAACAAGCCAACCTTCTCACAAACAGTATTGTTGCAAAATTTGTATGTGAACCCACAGAACTCTGCAAAATCAGCAGATGGAAGCCACTGTAAGTAGTTGATTTCATGTACATTGTGACCTATTTGTTGATTAATTCAATTTTCACTTTTATGATTTCTTTGTTTTGGAAGGACTTAAAAAATAGAAATCAATGCTAAATTTGCAACTTGTTCACAGCACGCCTTTAATTTTCACAATGAAGTTTATATTTACTCAGCCAAAAATTAGTGCAACAAAATTAAAATTAATTTATTAGACATTCAAGAAATAGAAAATTTAATCTATGACTCGGCTTCAGAGGACTATTTCCCTTGTAGATATTCTGCCATATGCTATGGTTAAGAACACACACAAAGCCATTAAATACACACACACACGCATACATACGCACTCACACACACAAATTTTATGCCTGAGTGAAATCAATAATTAAACAGCAACCTCGGCACTCCACGGTACTCCCCTTGGAGGTAGCGCCCAAGGTACCGCCCCATAGCTGGCCACGCCGGAGCCCTGTAGTAGGATGTGCGCGACCGTTTCCTCCCCCTCCATACACGCTCTGCATAGAGGGCTGTCCGTGATACCTAAATTAAAAAGGTGTTTGTCTGGCCAGCTGATTAAGCTCCGCTGCATACGCAGTCCGCAGAATATGACATTTACCGATGTTAATACTGCTAGCCCAGTTTACTTTAGTTACTTCCATAGTATAATGTCCTACAGGATTCTCCTGTGGGGTAAAGTGGCATATATTCATACCATATTTGTATTGCAAAAACGAGTGATTAATTCTATGTACCGTCTAGGCTCTCGAGTTTCTCTCAGATAAAAGTTTAAGGACACTGGTATCATTACTGTGGCATCACAGTACATTTACTCAAATATTTTATATGCCCGTAAAAATATACATAATTTCAATAAGAAAGAAGATATCCATAATATTAACCTTAGAGCTAAGTCCAAATTCATGGTACGACACACGATTTTGTTTAACCAAGGTAAATGACTCTTTTATGGGGAACGGTATACATTTTTACAATAAGATTCCGGAGCATGTATTAAGATTATCATTTCCTAAGTTTAAAAACTACATTAAAAATATTTTGATTGAAATGTCTTATTACATAATTGAAGACTGCGTGTTGGATAAAGATGTATGGAAAGACGACATGGCTGCAGAATCCACACAAATTTGATTCAAAGTGTATTCCATAGCATTTAAGTTTATTTGAAAAGAGCAATCCCTAGAGTTTCTTGCTCGTTCTTCTCAGGGAAATCAGCGTAGTGAATGAGCAGTAGCTTAATGTAATGTAATGTAATGTAAATGTGACGTTTTCAAGTGTACATTTATTTTATGGAATAAATGATCTTTGACTTTGACTTCAGTCCTTCATTGGAATCTTCAAACAATTGTATCTTGTATTTTTTGTCAAAAATGTATTGTTTCAGGATCCTATCCACAGCTGCCTCCAGTAGCGGTTCCTCTTTAACAGTTATGTAAAGGATTTTTGTATGTGGGGTCCTTATGTACTTCCTTTACTTAAAAGGCCTGCTCTGTTTACAGTGGGAGTGGTCCTGGGTCCAGCATCGCTTCGATGGCCGCAGTTGGAGTTGTCCTCATGCAGCCCGTCGTCGCCATGCAAGCTAGTCTTTGGAATTTGTCCAGCTTGTCGGTTGCGGTCGTCAGATTGGTTCGTGGCCACCATACTATCGCGCCATAACTGATCATTGGTCTTATCACCGCTGTGTAGAGCCATAGTGTTATCTTGGGTGAAAGTCCCCATTGTTTACCTACCATTCTATGGCACTGCCAGAAGGTGATAGTAGCTTTGTAATTTTATTGTCCAGGTGCTTGTTCCAGTTCTACTTGTTGTCCAGTGTTACCCCCAGATACTTGACTTCGGTTGATAACTGCAGTTCTGTACTGAAGAGTTTGGGTACTAGGTGGTTACCCAGTAGTCATTTGTTTGTAAACATAACTGTTTTTGGTTCTGTCTTTGTTGGATTTACCGATAGTTCATATGTTTTACACCATCTTTCCACAATCCGGAGTGCTGCTTGTGCAATGTCGCAGATTGTATTGGCATAGTTTCCTGTCATCAGTATAGTTATGTCATCAGCATAGCCTACTGTATAGAAATGTTCTTGTTTAGTTTGGTGATGAGATCATTTACGACCATGTTCCATAGCAGCGGCGACAGTACACTTCCTTAAGGGCACCCCTTTTATGCTACGGCCCATGGGGTCTCGTTTGCTGTTGTTCTTATTGTTCTTTGTTTGAGCATGTTGCTCCAGCTGGTTAACACTTCATCCACTTTGTGTCTTCTTAGTGGTGATTGTATGCTGGAGAATTTCGTTTTATCGAAGGCTCCTTCAATGTCTATAAAGGTTCCTAGGCAGAGTGCTTTGTTTTTGATGGCCTCGGCAACGGCAACGGCATTTAGGGCCTTCAGTAGGGATTCAGTGGACTTGCCTTGGCTGTATGCACGTTGGTTTCCGTTTAATGGTATGTTTTTTAGGGCTCCGTCCCTCAGTTCTCTGACCCATAACCTCTCTTTTATGTCTTCGAAAAGAACGGGAGTGAGGCTGATTGGCCTGAAGGATTTTGCGTCTGTGTAGTCATTTTTACCTGGCTTCGGTATGAATATGACTTTTACTTCTCTGCAGCTATGGAGCACATAGCTGAATGGTAGACAGGCCCGATAGATGTCGACCAGGCGGTGGATCAGTGTGTCCCCGCCTCATTGTAGGAGTGCGGGGAACACTCCATCTTGGCCCGGAGCTTTGTATGGTTCAAAGGCGTTTACTGCCCATTTTGTTTATTCGTATGTTACTACTTGTTCAGACGAATCTGCATCCTGGGAAATGTGCTTCCAGTAGGGTTCTCTCCGTTTCCGCAGGGGAAGTTGTGAATTTATTGTCTATTTTGCGTATCGAATCAGTTGAATTTGAGTTGGCTAGGATTTTTCTTATTCGGCCTCGGCGAAGGTTCGATGCTGGGCGGGCCTCTCAACCTTTTGCCGTTTGTTCTCTAAGAGATATTGTCTCGTCAAGGCGGGCACGTTTGGCCGAGGTCGAGGTCGAGGACCTCTGCGTGCTCTGTGCCGGTTTGCTGTTAGAAGGGAGTGGGGGCCCTTCCAGGGGAGTGCGTGACCGACAGCATATAGACCTTCACTCACCTCCCCACCCCTCTCGGGCTCAACCCCCCAGGATTCCTACATCCCTGCGTACGGCGCCCAACTGCGTAGGCATTAACGCAGGAGAATGTAATTTGTAATACACTATTGGAATGGTATCAGAATGTCGTCAATCCTACCCCAGTATTGAATGATTTGGGAGTATTAACGTGAGTGTCATAAATAATGACAACACTTTTATTTGTATTTAGCATCAGTTCAACTGATCATTTCGCTATTGAGTTCGGGCCAGAAAGTATGATCCAAATCAAGTACAGTCATTGGAGACAAAACCAAATCACTTTAACTTATCTATCTTGATTAATACACAATAAAACGCACAAGTAAAATCTGAGAATGGTCCCCTGGCGAATATTAATGGCTGCAAATTCCTACAACATCAGTAATATTACATAATACAGTCGAAATGTTGCGATTACACAGTTTTATTCAGCATTGTGACTTATAATGTCACATGTATTACAATTGCCTTACTGCTGCTGCGTTATAGCCCCGTGGGGTTTGAAAGAAATGTTAGATGCTAATGTGAAAATTGTGTGGTGGTGTCTAAGTAATTATCTTCATGCCACATTGAAAAAATAATAACAGTCATAAGTCATACAGTAATTTAATCTAAATTAAATTACTATTTTCAATTCCAGTGGTAGTTGCTAATGTGTCTGACGAAGAAATGCAGGAGCACTATGACAACTTCTTTGAAGATGTATTTGTAGAATGTGAAGATAAATATGGCGAGATTGAAGAAATGAATGTTTGCGATAACCTTGGTGACCATCTAGTCGGAAATGTTTACATTAAGGTAAGGTTGAAGCATTTTTATTCCTAGTTTATTATGACTGGTATTAGGGTGTACAAAAGTTTTTAGGTACTTATACGCTGTGCAAATATCTTGCACTAAGTTTTATTTATTGTTAAACTTCAAGTAAAATAACACATGAAACTGAAAAACGTATAGTGTAGCCTCATGTTCACTCAAACCTATAATATACATTATATGCTACATAATTATGTTAATTGGTTCTATGGAAGATTACAGCATACTGAATGGTAATTACCTCATAATTATGCATGTTTAACTTACAAATTTATTGTAGATTTTATGTAAAACAATTAATCAATTCATTTAAAAAAAATGTTAAAAAATTCTAGTTCCGACGCGAAGAAGATGCAGAGAAAGCGGTGAACGATCTAAACAATCGTTGGTTTGGAGGTCGGCCTGTGTACGCTGAACTCTCTCCTGTGACGGATTTTCGTGAGGCTTGCTGCCGCCAATATGAGATGGGCGAGTGCACTCGGAGCGGCTTCTGCAATTTTATGCATCTCAAACCTATATCAAGGGAGCTAAGAAGGTAGATTTATTTGCATCTTGTATTCTGTAATACTCAGTAATTTTGTTTGACGTATTTACTTGTTCTTGTTGAACTAATAATTTTGTGTAATTCATATACAGAATACCACAGTTACATTTCATTATAGTTCATTTCATATAGCATGGGTACAGTGACATTTGAGATTTTAAGTTTCTAGAGAAGTAGTGACGTAAAATCAAATGAAAAGAAATTGATTTAAATATATTATCGAGATAATTTGTAACGAAACTGTCTTCGTCGATTCGGAGATGATAATTTAAGAAGCATTTGCTCTTAAACTATCATCATATTCATCATTTGATAAACAAAATTAAAATCAAATCAAATAAAAAAATAGGTTGTCACCAAGCCTCTGGAACCCATGTGTATGCAGTTCCAGTGCTTAAATGTATCACAGATCTGATGAAAAAAGAAGATTCAATTATTATGTTATTATTATATATAACTGCCTCAGTGGCCGAACGGTTACCATGCCGGACTGCCACGCAGAGGTCCCAGGTTCGATTCCCGGGCCGGGAGAAATGTTTGTATGGCCTACAATTATTTCTCTCGTGAGTTTGGGTGTAATTTGTGGTTGTCTATATGTGTGTCCATGGCACCCGCGACACAGGGTTTACCTAGTGCGGGGCTATGTTGAGTGTGCGCGTTATTTATTTTATTTATTATTTATTATTTATTTATTATTAAGTTACTAAAAAACTACACAAATCAAAAATCAACAACTAAATAAAAAGGGGACTACAAACCATACAATTAACATCAACGAAACGAAATTTGTACGATTATTCCAAAAACATCACGCACAGCTCAAACCAAAAGAAAACTACCCACATCATTTTAACGCGAGATACATAATAGCCGTTTCGATTTATCGATTCTGTGGTGTGAATCTCTATGGATAAATGTTCCGTTTTAATTAATTGGGGTAATTTATTTATGTCATTTAATTTTCTGTCTACTTAATATACTGTAATTTTTACGTAAAATTATAAAAGAAACAAATATTATTTGTTTGTAGTACATTGTAACAAATTTACTATTTCCTTTTGAAACTTGGTTGAGAGATTAGTTAATAAAAATAGTATGTGAGCAACATGAAAATTGGAAATGTCATAGTACCCATCCTATGTGAGATGGAATATAATAACCGATTGTGCCTTGTTCTCTGCAATTCCAGATATCTATATTCCCGGCGTAAGGGAGGACGCCGATCTCGCAGCCGCTCGCGCGATCGGCCTGAGCGAGGCGGTGAGCGGGGCGGTGAACGCGGCGGAGAGCGCGGCGGAGAGCGTGGCGGAGAGCGGGGCGGCGAGCGGAATGAGCGGCGCCGGCGCTCCCGATCGCGCGAGCGCCGCCGAGACCCACCACGAAACTCGCGCTCCGGTCGTTATTAACGCACACCTCACTCTCGTACGTAGATTACGCTGCTCATGTCATCAGCATCAACATGGAGGCTCGTTATCCACCCAAGTGGAACAGATCATGCATTGCCTCTGGAGTCTACTGCACAGAGACCATTTGTCAAAGACACTAGACCTCTCCGTGGCGAGACATGACCGCATAAGGCATATTAAATTTAATTTGGTTAATGGAGAAGGATATAGTATGGAAAAATTGTTCCACGGTAAGAATGATGTTAATTGAAATAACATTTTAGTTCAGTTGTATTATTATGTCCCTCCATCCATAGATTTAGTATATAGGTACCCATAGATTGGCAATGCAAGTGAAAGAGCGTTAGTATACACGTATGTTAGAGCGAGATGGGTAGACGAGACCACTTCATTATACGCTATCAGCCTGTATGAACCTAGGGTCAGCAGACAACGAAACAAATTTCGTTTATTTTTTAAAAATAATTGGTTTTAAAATGTGAAATAGTGTTAAACGGACGTTTATTAGTCATGGTAACGTGTTCAGTGCCCGGATGTAACTCATCTAAAAAGGAAAACTCGCAGTATTGCACATTTCATATGTAAGAACTATTTCAATTTTTAGCTGTCTAAAGGCACTACCACAAAAGTTTTTTACATAAATATATCCGTTTATGTAATCATAAATATATCCATTAAAGTGCATTTATTAATGCACTTGAATGGTATAATTTTACATTTGGGTTATTACCCAAATTTATTTATTTAAACTTAAATAGTATCATTTTACATTATACTATTCATTCATTTCATATGTATACGAATTCAATTAAAAAATATATCAAATACGTGAATTTCTGAAATTCATAACCCCACTTTCATAGAGATTGACGCAATCGATAATATGTGATCGAGATGTCATTAACTGCAAAAAAGAAAGGCAAAGGCGTGGCTTCAATCATCATCTTCATACTTAATATTATTGAATCAGAAATTTCTGGTTTTAGTACTTTATATTTTATTAATATTGCATTAGTGCATTATTTTTTGTCTACATTAAAACGAAAATTTCTATTAATAGCGTGGTTGAGGCACCCATTTTTTTATGTTAAATATTGTTGTTGATTCAGATTTCCTTAAAACATTGAAGTACGACAGTAATGGCTTATAATGCTAAAGAGAGAAGACTGGGTTCACAAAAAGTTTTCAAAAATATGTAGCAAACACTTTGAGGAAAAATGCTTTTCCTTTAGAGGCAAGTAAAGAGTAAAGCTACTTTCTGGTTCTGTAACCAAATTATTCATGTCGGTATGTCTTACAATTAATGGATTTTTGTGTAGTCAACAACAAATCGGCGATAGTATCAGGTGATAGTAGCTTTCTTAATTTTTATTGTATTGAATCATGAATTAATTAGTTAATTAACGTCTCGGCGTCTTGCGATAAGACATTTTGGTGAATACGACGAAGTGAAATGCCGGTGTAATATGTTAATCGATATTAAAGTTAAATCAGTGGATGACGCAACACTATTTATCTTGCACACATGCACATTATACGCACACAGATATATTTTTGTTTTGGTCTCGTCTCCAAATTTCAGGGTCAATCTATGGATATACTAAATCTATGCCTCCATCACCAACTAACAGCAACATGATTAAGATGTTCTCCCTTGTCAAACTTAATAATGGGTAGCTGTTCTCCAGTAGGTGAAGTCTAAAAAAACTTTGTTGTCAGTCGACTTAGCCTGTCATTGCACGCAACATGGGCACTTATTGTAATCTAAAAAAACGTATTTGTTACATGATTGACAGTGCTTTACCTTCAAGTGAAAAACAAAATCTAGCATACTTTCATAATTCACTGGGTGTACGAAAATATCGAAGTCATACATGTTTTTAGGTTTCCACAAGTTTTATTCAAAAGTATCAATTTTGTGGATGCAATTATTAAGTTACTCCCAATTTATGGACAAGATAAATGAACTACTTTGTAACTCCAATATGAACTTGTGGTTTCCATATTAAGGCACTATTGCGTTTTCGTGTTGTACAAACTTTTATGAATAATTGGAATTAATTTTGTAAAATTGTGCGGAATTGCAGTTTTCAATCTACTAGTACATAATCTTGTGTAAGGAATTAAATAAATTGTAAGAATGAATAACTTCGTTTTGCTCTTACTTTTATTAAAAAATAACATACCTTCATGAAGTTTTCCTATAAGTTACATATACTATAAGTAACATGTACCATAAAACACCCACTTATCAAACTAACTTACTAATAAAGTTTAAATTTACTTTTCTAATTTTGTAGTTTTTGTACTTTGGTTTACATAATAAAATATGAATTATTAATTAAGTACAACACGTCATAACCAGAAATCAAAATAATATGCAGACTATTTCCAATCTGTGGTCATAAACACGAGTCGTCAGGTTTGATTTATAAAAAAGTCCATAAAAGCATATATTTGCGAAGAATTAAATTAATTAAAATTCATATTAATTAAATATATTATTTTCATGGAATGTCAGAACTATATAATAATATAAGTATTTCTGTTACAGTTTACTCACAACACTATAATTGCAGCACATTCGCATTTAGAGCTCCCTTTCGTGTAGCAACGTTTTACATACATTGTGGAAAGTAAATATAAGGGAATACAAAATATTAACTGGTAGTCCATGCTTAGAAGTGAGACGTAACACAACATTTTTGTGCTCGACTGTATGCCGCTTTAGGACCAGAGCACCCAGTCACTGAGCTGTGTTCTTGTTTTTTGGAGAACTTTTTATTTTTGTCCTTGGTTATTGCTGTCTTTTACTCTGTCTGGAGCGATTTTGTACCCTTTTTTCCTCTCCCAAGACATTCGGTTTAGTCTCCCATAATACTAAAGATGATCGAATATTCTTTTTGGAAGTTTGCAGTCTTAGGGTGCGTGCGGATTTATTATAGTGCGGATTAGGGTAAGTATGGAACTATTGTGTCCGTGCTTAGCTATAAGTTAGTGCTTATCTTTGAAGTCGTGTTTTTGGGCAGTGTAAATGTTAATTTCAATAGTAGATGTAGTGAAGTCGTTTGCTTATGCTTAGTAATTTTCGTACCTTAATTTTTTATAACAATAAATGAAGGTATATCGAAATTATCATGTTTTGTTGGCTTCATATTGTAACTCCATTCTGATATTGATCAGCCACACCAATACTTACAGTGAACATCTATTCACAGGTTGCTGCATTATAATGTAAGTACTTGCTTGTGTTAAAATACCGTGCCAACTGCCCCGGCATTTCCGCACTGTATGGTGGTATTCCCGCAGGCCTTATTTGAAGACATCGCAGCCACCGTCCACCTTTAGTGAAGTACCGAGCTGCGGCGGTAGCAAGGCCAGACGGGACTTATTCCGACAAGACCTTACCAAATTTTAATTATAATTTTTTTTTATGATTTCACTTTTATTATTGTTATTATTATTGACATTATTAAATTTCAATTTTTATTGAATTAAATTATTTTTATGTGAAATTACTCCACAAGTTTAATATATATATATATATAGTTTAATAAAGATCGAACACTCTCACACAAATTCCTTCCATTTTTTCTGAGTGTTCGATTTTTGTATTGTATTTATTATATTTTTATTTGATTTCAGTTCGTTTAATTGTAGACAATTTAAATTTTTTACCATTAAATTTATTTATTATTTTTAATGCTGACATAACCATGGTTGTCGTTTGAATTAAACATCTCAGTGTTACTATATTTTCTTTTTTAGCTCATTAATAAATTTGTAAATATTCTATTCTTTTTCTATCAATATATTCTCACGATATTCCATTAACATTGCAAGTATTTTCTTCTCCGTATATCTGTTCCCAGAATGTTGTAACTTCTGCGTCTTCGTCTTGTACACATTTAAGTTTTTTATCTATAATGTAACAATTACGTTCTGATTCCTTAAAAGGTTTCCATTGCTCGAAATCATCTGCTGTCGTGGGCGTTCTGAAAAAGAAACAATATTATTAAGGTAAATGCAAGCTGTGTGTAGCACAGTCAACCTCGATATGTTACCCTGTACAGGCGAAGGTAGTCCACAGTCGAACGAAATTCTTTATAACGGCTCTGGAATCATCTGTTAGCGGTACGTCAAGACACGTTACGTGAAAAAGATAATGCAAATCGTCTGCATGACAGACTCCTCTTATGTCATTCATGTCGTAAGACTTCTTAACAATATTTCTTTCGGTTTCTGCGCAGAATTTGTACAAAAACACAGGTTGACTAGAATACCGTGAGTGATACTTCGCCCACCTTTGAATATTGTAAGAAAATAGCCTACAAGTCTCCAAATCAGTCATTGCCTGCAATTTATCCATAGTCACATCTTCACCGTTAAAATAAAACTTGCGAATTATTTTGTCTACTTCCTCTAATTTGTCCGATGACCATTTGAGCTTTAACTCTCTAGGCACAAAGTAACCAATTTTCCCAACTTTATCCAGTAGACTAGGTAGATTCCTAGAAATTTCGATTCCATCTCCAGATGTATATCCCAATATGATAGGGACGTCTACAATTTGTCCTTTGGTAACTAAATCTGGAGGTTGTTCTGTAATGAATTTTACTACATCGAGATCAGATTTTTCTATCACAGGTCTCCATAATATAACGTCCTCTATGTTGTTAATTACTTCCGTTGGGAGACTTATTTTCACAAGAGACGATGCAGGTATACTTCTTAAGAACTCTGATAATTCAGTCGGATCTTCCGTTTCTTTCCCTAATAATTTTCCCAGTTGGAATGCTCTATTACGCGCATTTAAATCGTAGCTCCAATCACTAAGACATACGCCACTTTGAAAAATGGCTTTGTTAAATAAACCTTCACTCATTTTTGATATTAAGTGATAGGAAGCGCAACTACCACCGGCACTGCAACCAAATATGGTGATGTTGTTCGGATCGCCACCGAAAGCAAATATGTTCTTTTTGACCCATTTCAAGGCTTCCACCTGATCTTTTAAACCTGCATTTCCGGGTATGTCCTCGTTATCTAGACATAAGAAACCTAATACTTCCAGTCTATAGTTGAATGTGACGAAAATGACATCGTGAGCCATGAAAAACTCTGGACCGTAGAAATCGGAGTTGCCAGAGCCGGTGTAGAATGCGCCGCCGTGTATCCAGACCATGACAGGCAGTAAGCGAGGTGACGCGGTCGCTCCACCCGGGGTGTAGACGTTGAGGTAGAGACAGTCTTCGCTGCCGGTTTCCATGCGGTTTAAGCGCTCGTTGAACTGCGGGCATACGGGGCCATGTTCCGAGGCATCTAGGACTCCTTCCCATGGCTCTGGAGGTTCTGGCGCCTGCGTACACAAACCAAAAAAAAAAGAATAATTTTTAGCAATTTTTGAAAGGTAAAGTAAGTTAAGTTACATGCATGTTTTGTTAATATTGTTAATATTGTTTTGTTAATATTGTTAGTATTGTTTTGTTAATATTGTTAATATTGTTTGTTAATATTGTTATTGTTGTTTGTTAATATTGTAAAACCTATTGTTGCTAGTAAATGCCATTGATATAAAATAACAAAATTCGTAAATCAATATGCTTAAGGCGCTCTGTACCTGCAGTACCATAACTGTTCAAGTATCAGCAGTGCTAGCGCAGGGCGCGACTTGTGCGAGATACGATATGGAAGCGCGAAATATTGGTATGTCGCAAACCGTAGCACGACGACGGTGCTTGTCGAGTCGCATTTATTATTTTATTATTTTATTTATTATTTATTGCAACAGCCGTCTGTCGATTGACAGCTGTGTGCGACTAGCAAGGTTTGGAGATCAGACATGAAAAGTGAGTAAACTATCAAAGTGAGAAAAATAGCTTATAATGGCTAATTTAAGTAATTTAGGTACTAATACAATAGTAAATATTAGTTGGAACTCTTTCAGGAATCAGGAATAGTAAGGGCGTCTCCTAGGAATGTGTAGTAAGAGAGATGACGATGGTAAAGTCCGTAGTTTTACACTACAAAACGTAGGTACAAGCAAAAACCACAAAGCTTGAAATAGAAGTGGGTATGATTCACAATATCGAAAGTCGTAACGTCAATGGTCTTTGTATGGAGAACGTTACATCGATTGGTCGTTACGCTATATCGATGTTACGCTACAACGAAAGTACGCTACATCGGTGGTACTCTATATCGATGGTACGCTACATCGGTGGTGGCTTTACATCGAGAGTATTGTCAATCGTACATCGATAGATAGTACACTACATACATTATATCAATTACATAAATACACAATAAAAAAACCTCCAAAACCAACAAATTCACAATACAGCATATAGTTTTAGAAAGGAGGGTCAAATTTCACCCAGTCCCGGTGCAAAAGAAATATATTTTACAATTGGGCTTATATTAGGTACCTAAGTAAATTCTGTATCGCCCCTGGTTTTTTACGCTACTGGTTTTTTATTACGCCCCTTGAATACAGAATTGGTTCAATTATTATTTTTCTAAATAGTTTAATAATGATTTTTGAACAATTAAATTACAGTTTTCTACCCATAAAAAGAGAATATACAACAGGCCATACAACATTTTTTAAAGTCAGTATAAGAATATAAAGTAAAATAAAAAGAAATTGTTTTTATATCTGTTTTCATCATTTTACTATATTATTCCTACTATACTTCCCTATAGAGAACACAAATTGTGATAGGCTTTTGTTTTTATGTGAACATACCTACATTATCTTATCCTATTGCGCCAGAGTAAAAACAAAAGGCAATATAGACCTGTTAGTTACTGACATCGTAAACAAAAACTTTACGGAATTTAATTACCTCATACAAGCAAAATTGTAAGATTCCCGATGTAGTATACCGTCGATGTTGCGTACTTTTGATGTAGCGTACCATTGATATAGTGCACGTCAATGTATACACCTTCGATTTAGTGTTCTGTCGATACAGCGTATAAAGTGAATCATATCCAATTTAAATTGGTACAAAAATAGTTACTTTGTTACCTACAGGTGTTGGTGTTAATAACATTTTGGCAGGCGGTAGTTACAGCGGGGAATCGGCCAAGACCACAATCTATGCGTAGCACAGATAACAGTGCCTAAAGAAATATCTTGGCCAAGTTGTAGCAGCCATAAACCAACTGTAAGAACTTATTTTTTTTAGGTATAAGTGCTTTGAAATATATAACCTAGTTATAAAGAGATTTTTGCCTGTGTTTTCATTTTCCACAAAGTATAAAGCACGCCCTAGGCATTAAAAAGAAGTAACAAATAGTCTTATCAGACAGGAAATGAAACTATTTTTCCGGATTTAAATCGCGTATATTTGTTTTTTTCAAACAAATCGACGTTTCGGGCCCTTTACAGGTCCCATGGTCACAGTTGACTGAGGTGGTACAGTCTTCAACCAGTTATGTTTAATATTGATACAAACCACCCTATTTTTTCACTATAGTTACAATAGTTATTAATTAAATACCTTATTAAATCCGAAAAAATAGTTTCATTTCCTATGTGTAACAATCGCGAAAACCTAAGAATTCGATATTCTTAATTTTAATTTTACAAAGAAAACATTGCAATTTACGCTACATTAAGTTTCACAAAATTATTTTATTGAATGAATTTTTATTAAGTTCAATTTATTATTAATTAATAATAGAAATTAGAATAAAGTAAAACATATTAATTAGTACTTTATTATTATTTATTATTAGTACTCTAGTCTTATCAGACTCTAAATGCTTATTTGCTATTTTTTAATTTTTAATAACAGTGTAGTAAATACATAATACTCGGCTAACATCGCCGTGTGTAGTCGATGTCAGCTAAGTATGTAACACGAGACCGCGTGTAAGACAGGTTAATTAGATTAGTAAAATGTATTTTTGCGATGATCATCGAAACAACCAGAGGTCGAAATAACCTAAGGGCATAACAAACAAAGCCAACTGCTTAAAAAATGCGGAAACAACAACAGAATATTTCCTAACCTACAAAATAATAACCACAAAATCCAGTAGAATTCGGTATGGTAAAAAAAACATATTTCAGTTTACTAAGGGAAAAATAAACAATTTAATTAAGGCAACTATTTTGGTTATTTTAATTTAATGTTATTTGTATGCACGTACATGACGGACTTGTATGTTATATATTAGTAGTTTGTGTACTGGACCGCGCACTAAGATAATAAAACGAGGCGAGTGAGAGGCTTCAAATTAGTAATGCGTCTCTTTCTAATAGGGTGTTCATTCATGTTTCAGCCAGCCATATTGTTTGTAACTTTTTAATTTTTACAGAAAATGTAGCCACTTATGGATGGCCAAAACTACTAATATTATTTCATTCTACAAATTACTATACTTATTTGATATGCTACTTCATAAAAGAAGGTTTCAATGTTGATATATATTTTTTGTATTATTACAGTAAAACCATATTACCTTTAAGCTCATTTTATTTAACCAAAATTTAATAAAGTTAATAGACTAGACATTACCTAAGATGATTTTATTTAGCGTTGGCAACTTGTTAGACAAGGACAGACCACTACTTCGAGCTCACGTGACTCGGTTTTCTACTTTTACTTAAAATAATCCTTAACATAACCCAATAAGGTGTAAATTTGTAATATTGGTATATCGAAGTGCGCATCCGTGGTACACGTGGTACATGTAAAGTGAATTTCTAAAATGTCAGTCTTTTCGTCATTCTATCACATTATTTTTGGACGTCCCGACCCCCACTCATAACCTATAAGTTATAGGGAGGACACTATATCTTTCTACTTTGTGGGGAGAACTATCAACTCTATAATAAGGTGATCCATAAATTAAGTCTTTGATTTGCACTTAGACGGAAGCCAATCACAGCTTTATAGACTTTATAATCTATAAATAACGTTAAATTGAAATGACGTTTTGTATACATTTTTTGAACGAAATAAGATAAAGCGTAATAATAGTAAATATCTAACATGGCATAGAAGGTCAAATGAAGGTAACTGTATTTTTTGGAAAGTAATCGAAATTGTATACTTTTTTTTGATGGAAATAAGAAAATATTGAATAGAATACAAATAGCTCTAAAGGTTTTTCCTTATATAAAGTTCAGCAGATGCATCTTAAAAAAATTATACCGAATTATGTACCTATATTTATTTATGGTTTCGCTTACCTTGAATCTTAATATCCCTACTGGCGGTTTTGCGTATGGAATTCCTTTGAATGCTAAGTATTTTCCTTCATTATTTTCACAAACTACGCCTCGCAGCTTTCCTTGTTCGATTTGTGCGAATGGCATTTTGAAGACACTGCAAAGAAAAAAATATTATGTAAATAATAATTAAAATTCATATTTGTGTACTATACGATTTGTAGTTTTATAAGTTGATGCCTACGCAGAAAATTTTAAAAATAGATCGTAGTCATTGGTTAGCTGCCAAGAGATCAGGTGATTTTCTTAACTGCGCGAGGAAGTGAATCGATATTTCCGCTTTTACATTTTAGAGAGTTGCTAACTGAAATAGTATAATAGTACCTACAGAGACTAACGCCTTATTGTCAGAGGTTGATAACGGTGCTATATTCTGCCGTGCTTACGATAAGAACAGTAAGTCTATATGAATTTCAAACATACTGTTGGTACCAGCCCGTAATCTCTGTTAATATTGTAAGCACGGCAGTATTATGACTCATGGTCTACAACTTCATAACATTAGTTCGTACAAAGTGCAGACACAACGAATGATACATTTAATACGAGCAAGACTTTGATTTGTTCACGAGTATAGAGTATTATGCAGAAACGGAGGAGGGTAGCTGGTAGAACCACAAAATTACTTACGCAGAGTAAATAAACTGAATTAGAAAGCAGTACTTAAAAATAGCAATGTTGTGCCACGTTGCCTAGAAATAAGGGCGAAAACCTTTTTGAGACGTGTATTCAACGTGGTATGTACAGTCAAGAGCACATCAAGCTTGACATTTTGTACTTTGGACCGTTCGTATCGTAAGCGGCATAGAGTTGGATTTAAGTCTTGAGTGTCAAGCTTGACGTGCTCTTGACCGTACCTGTTAGATTATCATCCTTTAGTCAACGAAGCGTACTCTACAAGATAATATAATTGCGCTGGACCTCAATGGTAGAGTCGTTTGTTCCTCATCTTAGATGAAACTGGAATTTCGTTAATTATTCAAATACTCTAGAAACTTTCGCAGCAGCTCTGTTCGACACGACTTAAGTGGTTTGGGACGATTTGGAACGCTTCGTTTTATAAACTTTTTAACTTTGAACAGGTACAGTATTTTCATTAACAGATTGCTTTCTATTGAGATTGGTTTAATTTTCCCAAATTTACATTTTTTCTTAGAACACAGACGAGTACATATATCTTACTCCAGTGGTATGCCGCCTCGATAATGCTATTATATCCCCGCGGCGATGATTAAACGATGATGATAGCTATATACGCAATTTCATATTGTTGTCCTTGTTCTTCAAACTGTATAACAATAGTTCATTACCAAATAAGCAAACTTAGTTCTATCACGCAGAGTGAGGGTCGTATTCTAGAACTCTACTCAATGTTCAAGTCAGGATTTGAGTATGGTTTAAAGCACTCAAAATCGTACTCAAGTCCCTGCCATTAGGGTCGTATTTCGAGTTCTAGAATACGATTACGACCCTGAGAAATGGCGGGTTTCAATAATTACATTACATTTTTACACGAATTAATTTTTAGTTTATGTATATTACGTTGTGCGTTTCTTGATTATTTGTTACCATTAAGCTGATGGCTCTGAAGCCAATGCTTTATAAATAAATAAATAATACTATCACGCAGACAGCATGTGCTCTATTAACTTGTCGGGTTCTTGGATGTGAATTAAAGAACACCGATCTTATAGTAATTTGTATAGTCACTAAAAAAGACGCAAGATTGTTTTACAAGTTTGAAACCACGTTTTTCACACACGAAGCCGCCATGACATTCTCTCTTTTTCACCTCTCTTCTCTTATTGGTTAGTGGTGCTCGCAGGCGCCGTCTCACAGTTGAATGAACTTGAGGGCGCGCGAATTTAAATGTGGTTCGCTACACCACCCACCCATAAGTAAATAAACCCCACCGAAAAGAAACTGAAAGAATCATACAGGGCAGGCTAAAGGTCGAAGGGAGTCTTAAATCGTACTTTTAGACCGGAGCGCGTAGTGTGTTCAGGTTTTTTTAGCAAGAAAATCGGAAGGTTTCGAAGTGGGAGGCACAACTTGAGAACGCGCCGAAGAATTAACCGTCAGATTGGTAGTAGCTGGACCGCCAACAGTTGATGGCTTCGGAGCTTCAGTGTCGATATAAGCTGGTTTAACTCGGTCCAAGCTCACGCAAACTTCTCTATTACCCACGGCGATTGTGATAGTTTTATCTTTTCTGCCAATCACCTTATATGGTCCGGTATAGGATGGCTTCTAAGATGTTCTAACTGTGTCGTCGTGTAAAAAACATGGGAAGACGAATTCGAGTCTTTAAAAACGAACGTGGAACGTTGACCGTGACGCGAAGCCGGAGTAGGTCGTAATTGAGCCATGTAATATCTGAGCTGGGTAGCCAAGCTAGTGGCATCTTCGGCGATAGAGCTAGGTGAAGGGTTAGCAGTGAACTCACCGGGTAAGCACAGGAGTTCCCCGTACACCAACTCGGCGGATGATGTCTGCAGATCCTCTTTCAAAGCTGCACGCATGTCAAGAAGTACTACAGGTAAGACCTTGTGCCAGGAATCTTGATGGCACATCAGGGCAGCTTTTAGCTGTCGAGGCACTCGACTAGGCCATTCGCACACGGGTGGAAACTCGTGGTGCGGATGCGTTTGGCAGAGCAAAGTTTCATGAGGGCCTTGAAGAGAGTTGCCTGAAATTGTCGGCCCTGGTCGGTCGTCACCAGAGACGGTACTCCAAAACGGGCTATCCATTCTCTGAAGAAAGTCTCAGCAACTTCTTCCGCCGTTATACCCACCATAGGCTTCAGGCCACCGTGTAAAGCGGTCCACAGCAGTAAGGCAGTACTGGTAACCTTTGCTGTGTGGGAGAGGGCCAATAATGTCCAAGTGGATATGTCGAAAACGTTTTGTGGAACTGGGGAAATTTCCGAGAGGAGTGGCCGCGTGCCGTATGACCTTGCATCGTTGGCAAGCCATACACGTACGGGCCCAGCTGCGACAATCTTTTTGAATGCCAGGCCACACAAATCGTTCAGACACTAATCGCGCAGACCCTCGCGCGCCTCGCGCAGTCACCCGACTGAGATTGTGTAATCTTGCGAAAACAGCGCGGCGAAATGACGGTGTTATATACGGGCGTGCTTTGCCAGTGGAAAAATCACAAAATGTGGACGTCAGTGCCAGGTAAGTTAACTTTTTGCAATTTTAATGACGAGTCGGATATAATTTTCTGTAGTTCCTAATCGTTTGGTTGCTCCACGCGTGACATCGCGTCAGCCACGACAATATCTTTGCCTTGGACATGCACGACATCAGTAGTAAACTGCGAGATAAACGACAGCTGATTGAGCTGTACAGGAGGCAGTTTTTCACGCCGCTGAGAGAACGCGTATATCAATGGCTTATGATCCGTAAAGTTTGTTACATGCTGAACTTCGAGTATATACCGGAAATGTTGGACAGATTCGTACACCGCCAGAAGCTCTCTGTAATAAGCCGGCCAAATGGTTTGGCGGGGAGTAAGTTTCTTACTACAGAAAGCAAGAGGCTGCTAGTGGTTGTCACAAAGTTGTTGTAAGCATGCACCGACATGACTGGACGAAGCATCTGTGAATAACCCAAGTTTCGCGTCGGGCACCGGGTGGGCTAGAGATGTTGCATCAGGTGGTGGGCAGGTACCGTTTTTCGAAATACGGTAGCCCAGGAAGGTTACTTCTTCCAATTCAAGGACGCATTTGGATGGGTTCACAACCATGTCATAGTCGGACAAACGCTGGAAGAGGGCACGCAAATGTTGGGCGTGCTCTTCTGGAGTCCAGGATACCGTCACGACCTCGTCCATGAAACGCTGGAACGTCTGTCCAGCGTTTCGGAGTCCGAAAGTCATGAACGGAAACTCGTACAGCCCGAAAAGTGTCGTGATTGCCGTTTTGCAAATATCACCTGCGTGGACGGGTGTCTGTTGGTACGCTTTCACTAAGTCGTAAGTAAGTACTGAAAATAGTGCAACCTGTAAGGCTGTGGGAAAAATCTGCAATATACGACGGGATATCGATCAGGGATAGTTCTGGCGTTCGGGGCGCGGTAGTCCCCGCAAGGGCGCCAGCCATTTTCTCCTTTCCTTGCTATGTGCAAAGGCTGCTTGCCGTGCAGTCCCAGACTGAATCATATCGGTAAACTGCTTTTTCGCAGCTAGCAACTTTTGAGGTGCGAGACGGAATATTTTCTGTCGAATGTTTTGTTTCCCTAGAAACACCAGGTGGTCTCGTCACCACAGGAAACTCCTGGAGAATTTTTGTCCAAGGTGAGTCGCAATCAGATAATATAGTCTTGACGCTGACTCGATCTATATTAGTCAATGTAGCATGCACAGACAGTTTTGTACTGCCGTCTACCAAACGTTGCTGGTGACAATCAGGTAAGAGGTGAAAATGGGCCAAGAAATCGGATCCAATTATAGCAGAAGCCACATCCGCAATGACAAAATTCCACCTAAATTCCCGGCGTAAACCTAAATTAAGGCAAAGAGTGATAGGGCTATATGTTTTTATAGCACTTCCATTAGCGGCGCGAAGGTCAAATTCCGTAGAACTGTAAGAGCCCTTGAGGAGATGTCGCGGGAAGCAGCAAATATCTGAGCCGGTGTCAATCAAAAATCGACGGCTGGTTCTAGAGTCTATAACAAACAAACGGCGGCCGGGGTTGCTGCAATCAGATGCCGCATTCACTGACCGCTCTTCCCGTTTCCCTGCTGGTCGGGTTTCCAATCACATGGGCTGTTGCAATGGCTCACCTTATTGGCAAACCTCTTATGATACCAACATAGCCGCGGCTCTGAGCGAAGGCGGGATGTTGACCTCGACGGGGACCTAGACTGGGAACGCCTGTTAGGCGTAAAAGAGCGTGCGCGGTCGTTGCTGAGGACGTTGACTTTTTTATTTAGCTCTTCAATGGAGTGCAATATTGCAGACAAATCCGTTGACGGCCTAGCTTTAGCTTCGTTTACCATAAAGGGCATAGATGACGGGAGAGTCTCCACTATAATGTCGGCAATTTCGGCCACCTTCTCCAAAGGTAAGTCCATTTGTGCCATTAAAAT